TTGATAATTTTACATGTAAAAAGGTTCTCACTACGAACACTCAGTGTAATTCTAACTCCATCATTTAAAATGAGTGTGTCGCAATACCAATATTAAGAATAATGTCAATGCCTAATGAAGAACAACCTATGTTATCTACTTTTAGATGATTTGCTAGTACCCATTAACGCAATCAAAGTTATAGTGATTTTAAACAATTGTCTCAACAACTTTTAGCACCAATTTGTCATAATTATTTTAAATATAATTAATGAAGGTAAATAGTTTGGTTATCTGAATTAATGTAGTTTAGGCCGAATAAAGTTTAACAAAAGTGAGAGAAATGTTTACAATATCAACCATGAGTAGGGCGATTATGCATCTTTGTTTTACTATCCATGACAGAATCGTATCAAAAGTAAATAACTTCTACAAACAATATAGACATTATGTCCAGGATTTATAATAATTATATCTATCTTAACGTAAATATACTTATGATCAACCAGAGTTTTCAGTTTTGAATCTAGCAACTTCTTCAATTGTATATGTTTTAAAAAATGTTTCAACTTTCTAGATTGAATCGCAAAGGTAGTCTTAATAAATCCACACTCTCGGTCGGAACTTCAGCAACTTAGGTTTGTTTAACAAATTATTACAAACAATTCAAAAACATTCAGTGAGAAAGATAGTGAACAAATGTACATCTATGTTATTAATTTTTGTATCAATTTTTGTGTTGTGTAATGATTAAGAAAGAGAGTAAAGTATTTATAAAACTATTTTATAGTTTAAACATAAGGTTAGTTAAAAAGGGATAACATTGCTGTATCGGAACATCAAAATGCGTTCCCCTTTCTATGTGTACAATCAACAGTGCATGAATAGAGAAGTGAGTAAACCTCGTTTGTTTTCTAGTACGGTCTCAGTAAATATCAAGGTCATTACTCAGCTAGTCTAGAAGTAAATGAACAAAAACACCAATAAATAATCGCCGCCAGCAATCGAAAATTTGCAAATGTCTAGGTTTTATCATGTAACATGAAATCTAAAAGCTGAAATTAGATCATTAGTTTGAACTGAAATTATATCTTATAAAGTTAGTGTATTAATAGTGAAAACACTGTACTTTTTGCAAACACTAATGAGTAATGAAAAATAAGGAGTATGTTTATAACATGTGAATTGATGTCCAGCTGAGTAGTCTGATAAGTTTTAAATGTCTAGTTCCTCTTGACATATTTTGCTTTCAAATATTTTAACTTATCAAATATGGGTCACTGCGAAACAAGTGCATTCCAAATGTGCCAACTACTGCTATGTCAAACCCCGTTGGTGTCTCATTTATCTACTTAATGATACTATTATGTCTGTTACGCAGGGCATGCATCTAATTTGTTTATGATGTTTGATAGGATCAATGTTTGGAATTTTTATCAACATTTTAACGGATTAACAAATAAAACTGACTTCTTGACTGAATGTGTTGCTTTACAAATATGGGGAAGGTATTGTGTTTCAAATAGATTTGTATGACATCTTGTTTTTCATATATATGTTTGTTACAGGGTGAGAAAAATGTGCAATCAACTGTCACATGTTTTAAAAGATTATTGGCTTAATCCATTCAAAAGAAAGTGGTATTGTCGAAGGTATCAATATGACAATTTGAGTACTTGTTTTACATTACAAGGCACCATTGTAAAACAAAACAGATTATTCTGTAAGCCATAGTTTTCTTTTTCTTTTTAACTGTTCTTGTCAAATTCCTTATTTAGTAGAAAGATTTAAAAATTACCAAAGTTACCGACGTGACATACGTGATATACGTATTAACATTTTCCGTGTAGTTAATGTTAGTTAAAGTAAATGTAATGTTAAATGAAATGTAGTTAAAGTGTTTGAAGCGATACATTTATTTAGGACATTAGTTAGCACAATTAGCATTATAATAATTTGATAATTAGAAGAAAGGTAGAGTTCATAGTTTAGTATTGAAGTTACTAACGTTGCCCCATGATCAATATTTTTACAAGACATTTTTCTCAGTGCTGGAAAATTGATAAAAGCAACATATAAAATACAACATTAATCTGCAAACATACAAAACAAACCTGTCCGTGTTAGTCAACAAATATTTAAAAGTTTAAAGTGGAAATCTTGAACGGATTATGAGAAGAAAAAAACATGTAGGTTATAAAACATATAAGTTATAAAGGAATAAATAATAAAATAAAAATAGCTTTTAAGGATTTTCTTTTCCTTTAAACGCATTACAAAATAGACAATGAACAGAAACTCGAAGTCCAAAGTGAATATTTTTTATATTTCTTGTGAAATATACGTCAACAAAAAGTCATTTACGAAATGTAAAGTTAAAAGGGGACATGGCTAAGAAAAATATTAAAATGTTACCTTCCTTTTAAATATTAGTTTCAGTATAGAAATTAAACAAATATTCCAAATTGTTTGGATAAAGACATCCTCCTGTACAGTATATAAAAAAAGAAATAAGCAACTATGAAGAGTGGCATTAAATGAAGGCATCCCGCAACACAACTCAGCAAGAAAAGACTATCGACAGTGAACCCGGCAGGATACAAAACAAAAGAAAACAAACAAAAAATTGTCGAAATCAGACACTGACAAGTTTACACTGCAAAATCTATGAACGAATTGACAACATCATTCGTGCGTATCAACAAGAACCATGTGTTTCGACAGCAAAGCGGGCGTGTTCCAGGAAATTCATTATCACCGGCAGTTTTTGCCGCTTATGTAATCATAAATGCTACTGACTTTGGTGTTTTTGTCGAAAAAAATGAAAATCGTACTGACGACTTTGCCCTAACAATGGATGAAACTTTAAATACTTAAAATTGGAGGATAATATTTAATTAACTGACGTCTCAATGTATGGAAAAATGTTGACTCACATGGTCGGACATTTTTATCATATATGTAATGATAACTTGGAAACTGTTTGCGAATGTTATAACATAATAACCCTAAGTTAACTATTTAGTTAAAAAAGAGTAAATCGCACACTGTCATTTTATTTGAAACCATTCGAGAAGTATTGGTTTTTATTCTTTTGCAAAGTGTTCTATAATTGTGTTATGCAAGTGTTAGAATTTTTTAAGTGTGTACGATTACAAAGAGGATCAAACATAATGTGTCATAAAAAACAGATGCCTTTTAGGTTGAAATGATTCGCGTGTGTTACAGAAATAACAAGGTGTACCTTGTGGTTGCCACGCAAATTCGAAAATTTATCAATACGCTACCTTTCTAAAGGTTAATGAACATGGTCGTCCAAAGAATACCATAAGAAGTTTTCATTGCAAACTGTATTTGCAAAATTATCTTGTGCAATGAATAAAAAGCATGTGATGACAGCAATGGGTCTAAGTGCCTATTTAACAGATAGGAGATCAGTGGACTTAAAAACTGCAAATGAAATAAAGAATTACTAGCTCTGTTAACCAAACTATATCATATAAGTGTCGTGTTCAAAGAAGCCCCGAAACTAAAACATATAAACAATTTAAAACCAAAGTTTAATTTAGAAAAAAAAAACATGAACGTTCAATGCTGTCACAATTACAGGATTTTACTATTACAAGTTTATTTGCGAACAAATTTATCAAAGAATAAATACATTTTGTAACCAAGTACAAATAAAAAAAATATTTTCTTCTCAGAATGAAGAAGCATTTAGTGACTTAAATTATAGATATATAGATAAAAGATAGATTTTATGACATGAAAATATCAGGAAAAAATCAAAATGCATTGTGGCAGTTTTGAGTGGTCACTTTGTTTCACTTTCTTTCCAGATTCACCGGAAAAGATTTTTATTCTCATAGAGATTTTCACAGAAAATATATATGTATTGGTATTCTTTCTAATCATAGTATCAATTTTGACATACATGTATACTTGTTATCTTAACGTAAATATCTGTTGTTATATTGGCGATGCTTTAAGATCGTTCAGCACAACTTAATTGTTGTGTGTGAGTACTGTTTGTGGTGTTTTGGTCCTTCTATTTGATCCTTTTGTCCTGAATGATATGATGCCTGCTTTTAAAACTGACGTCTTATTTGTTTTGTTTTTTGCAGGCTTCACAACCTCTTATCCCTAAAAAAACATTTCTTTTTTTTAAATTCCACCCATTGCTTTTTAAAGTTTAATACAGGGAGAACACTCGTATCCTTTGATGTTACAATTTTGTGTCCCTATATCGTTCTGAAGAGACGTTTATTTTTTTTATTGTGTTCTACTTAATATGGGAAAATTGAAATCATTCTCTACAAGTAACCTCGGTAGACAATAGGATAACGAACCAAATTATTGTAAAATACATGTGTCGAAAAAATTTAATTTCAAAACATTATTTTATTTTAACAAATATCAGTCGCATTCACATATTGACTCTTTAAGCTTGTATTGTTTCTCGTATCTTTAGGTACAACTTAAATTACCCTGGCTAACAACGCTTAATCAAACATTATCTCTAAAATTCATCTACCGCATCTTCGGTATTGCATAACGTCTACAAAACGTTGCATTTGTACATGTGGAAATATTGTCTTAAAAACGTTAACTTTGTTTGAAGGTTTGAAAAATTGCCTGCTTTTCTTATCCTCGGTATTGTTATATATATTTATATTTCTTCGCATGTTTAATTCTAATACTGACAAGATTGAACATTGATTACGTTTAAGCGCCAGGAATGTTGCAGTGTTCACAGCCATTCGCGTCTTAGCGATGCAGTCATTCTCACGAGTTTATAGTTGTTTTCATTGCTCACTTTTTGTAAAATTCATAAACTGACAATTACAACAGTAAGTTCCAAGTGCTGTATGGCGGCTGTCAATTGTATTATTTTTTCTTGAGGAAATCACCTATTCAAACGCAATTATTGTTGAAGGTTTCTTCAAGCCGATGCTAGGGGCATGAGCAATTTTCAACTCTCCTTTAACTTTCATGAACAGAATCGTACAAAACCGACTATGTCATATTCACGTATCTTATTTTTTAGCTTCATTTTTTAATTTTAAAAGTTAAAAAAGTTAGACATTGAAATTCAATATAAAGATAAGTTGAGTTAATAACAACATATGTGACAGTTCTTTTTTTAAGAATTACTTCTTAAACTCTGGTAGAAACAGAAATGGTTGTAGTAGCTTCTCTCTGACTTCAAAATATCTGGATATATTCAATTCGTATTTAGATTTTACTTTGATCCGTCTTCGTTGCCCTCCTTTCCTTAACTTTTCATGTTTAGTTTTGTGCCGAACTGAAACAAAAAATGTAATAATTATACAAATGTAATAATAAGTATGAAAATTCTTTTTCAAATTATTTTATGTTTAATGATATTTTTCAGTTGTGATATTTGTACGTAATATTGCATTATTTTATAAATAGAAACGTTTTGATTAAAGTAGTGCCAACAATGTAATGTTATTAATTATTTGCTAAGTCAATTAGTCTTTTCCTACAGACTATTCGACTAGATTTCAACAAACATTAAACTTAGCTTTATATAACTGATTGAGAGTTAGTAAACTGTGTCAAATCCTCAAGCTTTTGGAAATATTCTACTGCAATCCCGAATGATGCGCATAAGATTTTTTACAGTTACCTTTTCTTTGTTTATTTTGAAGTATTGATATATGTTTGATGGTACATGCACACGCAACAGGCCAGTCTTTGATGTAAGCTTTTTCATTATTTTTGAAAATCGGTATATCTGCAAAATAGAAAATAAGCAATGAATTTCAAAATATTGACTCATTTCATTATTTCCATCGCAACCATTAAAAATAAACAGTATAACATTTCAAATCAAATATCTTGCGGATCTAAGTTATTTGAACACAATGAAAACAAATATCAACAAAGAAGAGCACGACAACCGACATGTAGCAAAGCTGGGCACCATACAAAAACCGGAAAGAGCATAAAGGCAAAGCAAGAACGGGTGCCATCACAGAAAACATAGATAAACGAAAGAAAACAGACAGTTCTCTGAAACAAATGAACCTACCTCTTTTTATTGGCTCGCATGCTGTATACATATTTAAAACATTTGGAATCACTACATTTCCCGAGTTCAACCTGCATTTGCTGCTACATTTAGCCTTTGGAATAAATGCTGGGTTTCTGTATTTATCAAAATCCCAACTATCTGTCCATTGACATAAAGATCTTTCACATAGTCCATGACATCTAATGTTCGAATCTCTTTTTCTACGGCTACGTTTTATAGCTTGACCTATATCAGTCACTGCAAAGATTTCTTCTGGTACGTTTCTAGTTTGGAACTTTCGATTTTGTAGAGGTGTTTTTCTTTCCCTATATCTACCTCTGTAGTTTGTTTCGGTATCATTGTTTAAGTTTATTTCTACTTTTCGTCTGTAAATTTTATATTTTCTTTGAACATGCACATTAGCTTTTATAAAAGTGGCATTGTTAAATGCACTGAAAGATGTATATTTTGTGTTAAGATGTACTTTTATAGCAGTTGTTTCAAATGACTTTAGAGATGATATTATCCACAAACTGTATAACGATGCAAAATTCATGTTTATCCAAATAAACTTGTCTTAGACTCTTACATATCATCGAATCCCTCCTCAATTTAATCTTTCCATGAGAAGCGATAACATCAAAACTGAAACCTAACAATTCGGAATTTCGTTCTTCTGTCTAGTTATTGTTTTAATTTAGTAACAGACGAGATTTAATTTCGAACAACATTTCAAACTTGATAATAGAAGCAATGTCCAAGTGTTATCTAAATCGCGTAAACTTATTTTGATTGAGATAATTTAAAAAATAACACGAGATAAACGAAGTAAATATTGTTGTATCCTGTTACGTAACTGTTAAACCTGTGTTTAAACTTTTAGAACATCGTAGTTTGATATTCATGTAAACTCATTTAATCTTAATATAGCGTCGCGCACTGTTTGAATTAAATCAATCATAATCAAAGTCATTTAAAACAAGTGATGATGTCCTTGACATAAACATACGTCCCAGAAAAGTGGGCGTTGTAAATTAGATTCTCACTTACAAACAAGTTGTCATCAAATTTATAATTTAATTTGTAAAAATGAGAAAGTTAAATCCCTGTAGAGTAGAGAAAACAAAGTTAAGAAGTGAAAATTGCGGACAATGTTTGATATGTAAAGTAAGTTTTATATATAATGTGTTGAACAACATGCGCATAGAAATATAAACGCTGCATTTTGATTTTGAATCTATTCACTAATGATACTACAGACAAATAACAATGAGGTAAAAGTTATAGTATATGAAACGAGTAAGTTATGGGGGCATGACAGTGGCTACGATGAAATCTAGGGATGTTTCTGCAAAAAAAATATGTCGAAGCCGTCAGGCCGAGACGATTTTTTTCAAAAACATCCAAAGATGTCGCCCAAGCCACTGTTTCACCCCTGTAACTTACGAGTTTCATATATTATAACTGTTTTTATTGCGATTTCATTACTTCTTTAACAGAACATCAGGTAGGTAGATAGATCTCATTGAGTAGAAGTGCATTGCAACAGAACCGTAACTCTGCCTTGCGTAATTTTGGAGTTATTGCCCATGGTTCATTTTTACAATGTTATCTTTATCCGGGACATAACTCTTAAACTATAAGATATGTCAACAAGAAACTGTGTAGGTAGTAGATAGATCTCATTGGTTAAATGTGCAATGAAAAAGATCTGTAATTTTACCTAGCCTAATTTAGAGTTATTGCCCTTTGTTTATTTTAAAACTTTGTCCGTGACATTCCTCTTAAATCACAAGAGGTATCAACAAGAAACTTTTTAGGAAGATAGATCTCATTGAGTAGATGCGCTTTGCAAAAGAAACGTAACTCTGCCTTGCCGAATTTTGGAGATATTTCCTTTTGTACATTTTTACACTGTTTCATTTGTCCGGGACATGTCCAAACCCTGTTTGGATAGCATCATGCGGTTCAACCGGCTTTTTTCTATTATGAATGTGTAACACCATGCTCCCTTTGACCCCCTTTGAACCTCCATAAAATAACTCAACCGATATATAGAAGATGCAAAAAACAAAAACACTGTTATATATCAATCGATTTGTATTCCTATATGAATCAAGTGAAAAACCTAAACTGTTATATATTAATACAATTTTAAAATCCTAAATGGAAGTGTACGGATTATAATGGGTTAGAAAGAACAAAGAAAAATCTCAAAGCCATGGGATAAATGATGCATAATGAAGTGAGGCGGGATTAGGTATTGGCTAATACCACCACTGACCAGTAGCAAGTCAATATATTTCAGTTCATGATAAAAAAAATAGCCATGGATGTTAAGGTGAAGTCATTTTGCTCTATTGATATAATAAAGTCAATGAAGTATGTTTTAACAGATGTAAACTAGTTACCCCACTGCACCAACACTCTGGACTATTTGTTGTTGCAAAGTTGCAAAAAAAGCTGGACTGCTGTTTAAATAGCTGATACAAAATTGACATATTATTAGATTTATTTTCATTACCTGATATTTATTGCCATATAACTCATAAATTCATATTTTCCGTTTCTTTGACACTGGAGGAAAATAAAAAATATAAACGGTCAGTACGATTAATACTACTTAAACATTTTGTGCAGTATTTTTATTGTTATCAATACTTTATAAATGATATATGTGTATGAAGTTTGAAAGGTTGAAATTTTATTATGTAATTACACCTCTTCTTTGTCTTTGGAAACTAATACAATAATGGTTTAACTTGTACATAACTCGGTGTAATAAACTAAACATAAATTTATAACTTACACCTGGATGTTATATTTTATATTGTTTAAATTGGATTATGCACTTGCAATGTTGATACAATTTATCAGAGTTTGCCGTGTTAAGCAATTTATGCCCCTGATAAAACCAATGATAAATTGCGAGTGTAATTCATGTAACTTTAGACTTTTAGACAAGATGTCATCATTTAAAATAAAGTATGTTAATTGAAATATACCCCCCGCTTTTCAACACGAATTCATATAACCTTGTATTGCTGCTTTCGACTTAAGTTTAGATTTATCATGAAATTACCTTAATTATAAGATTTCGATTTGGAGTGGAATTGACTTATATTAATGTCCAATACACATATACAATTGCATATTTTGTTTTGTAACAACATTTGTATTAAAACTTAGTTTAAACATGAAGGGAATGAAAAACAACCGTCTTGTATTTTCTACTAATAATAACCCTCGGTTTGGTTTCTGCACTCAAAGTTAATATCCTATGTTCATTATAATTATTAGCAAAACATGTCTCGTTTTGTTTACAACGCCACCTATCATGATAACAACTTCTTTCTAATTGATGTGTTATCTCCTTCTATGAATATTTCATGAATTCATGGGGGCAATAAGTTGTTTAGTTCATACATATGATTCCTTGTTAAAACCGCCACATCAAATGTTGGCATACCTGAATAGACCCTTATTTGTTAACATTTAAAATGCCTTCATTTTATCAATCGTCTGAGTTAAGGATATTTCCGCACGCTCATAATCTCTCTTGGTAAAAAAATATTTCGTGATGAAAGGATTGTAAATGGCGCAGTTAAAGTTGTCAAATAAGTTATCGTGCATGTGATTAATTTCAAGTATGTGTAACAAAAATGCAAACCAAGAAAAACCCAAAATTCAGGTTTAGGCTTTTTGTTTTTAAAAACCATTATTGAAATTTTTTGGCAATTTTAAACCAAATTAAAGGGTTTTTAAAAATTTAACTATTTACAAAAGCCAAAAACCACTTTTTTTTTAATCCCCCTTTGGCCGATTTTTAAATATACTTCTATTTTCCAAAGCCGGAAAAAAACAAACATAGATCTATCATCGGAGGGAAATAAAAATTCCTTTAAATTACACTTTTAACCCGGGAAGCAAACTTTTTTAAAGCAAATATAAAAATCATTTTTTGATCAATTTCCCCCCGGAAATTTTTATTCCGCAAATGAACCCACAAACTACCCTATGAAACAAACCCGGATATCCTTATTCACAAAATATTTCTTAGATGTTAAAACATCAAAAGTCAAGGCCATTCTTGAGCCACCTTAAATATTTTGTCTACCACGAAGAACTCATTTAAGAGAAAAGATAATAAAAACCGTGTGGTTATCACACATTGCTAGTATTTATCTTATATTCCTAGGATATGTTAAATCATTGCAATGCTTATAACGCATAATTCAAAAGTCTAACAAAGTCTAAGTCCGTGACATTATCATTATCTTATTAATTGATGTGTTTGAAAATATTGAAGGGATACAAGATGCATTCGATTTTGTTTTTGAATCAGATGTTCTTTCGTATGGATATAAAAGTAAAATAACTCACCAATGCCAAATGAAATATCATAATTATATGAAAACAATATGTAGCCATTTCTCAAAACTCCGTTATATTGATACTTTTTGAAACACCAAATAGCTTTAGGGTTCATTGCACAGTACGAAGTAATTTGTGATACAATTGTGTTGTTAATCACGATATGACATTATTTATTATTAGGAAACAATGTGATGCATTGAAGCTTACGTTCAGATTGATTTGCTTGTCATTTATTTATTTGACCATCCTTTTATGTGTTTTCTTCTTCAAAAATGAATTTCTGTCACCCTTTAAAAATTCGGGCACATCAAAACAATTTAAAAGGTTTTTTACTCTTTCTTATACCCCTTAAAGTTATCATTTCCTTACCAATTTGCATGGGAATAAAAGGGAAACTATAAAAATTTCCCCATTGAAAATTTTGTTAAAAAATTAGGGAAATTTTTAAATGACACGATATAAAATGTTTATGATAGAATATAAATGATATTTCATGTTTTTAAACGGTATAACGTTTCGTAAGACTGTCATGTTAGGATTTACCATTTTTGCTAGAAAATCCTTAACAATCAAATATATTTGTTCTATAATTCAACAACTAATGTAAATATTTATGCTTTTCTTTCTAGGGAGAGCGTACGCGCGCGGTAATTGATTTATATGCGGTACATCATAGAGCATGTTCATCGGATAAAGCTAAAATATCTTGTCTTTTGTTGCATTTGTTTTCTATGTTACCAGTTTATTTAATTACCAGTTTATTTAATCATCTCCCGTACATGTGCAAATGGATCCGCGATCATTATTCATTCAGGGTGTGTTTCGAGTTAAGGGCGTTGCTTTTTAAGCAACCGTGCATTACTTGATTTAGATAAAAATATATGTCTTATTAAGAACACACGGCAGATCCTATGATTTTTGCATTGTTTTAAATGCACAAAATATATTTGTTATCTAAATCAACCGCAAATCATAACCGTTAAACGGAATTGCAATGTACTTTAAATACACATGAACTACCACGAACCTTATCTCAAGTGCCATTGATAATGACTGTCATATAGTATCCTTTTTCACATCAAGCTCAAATGCACATTTCAATTTACGATGATTGTGCGACCTGTTATCAAAGTAATCATGGTATTAGAAATTATCAACACTTTAAATGCAAATTTAAATCTTACTTTTTGTAATGAAAAGATATTTAGTCGGGAATATCGAAATATTAAAAAATACTAGTATTCTCCGGGAACAGTTGGTTTTTGAAAAAGGAATAGGAAATGACTCTGATGGTGTTATTTCGTTTAATGATTATGTGGCTCAAACATCGAATATTATCAAAACGGATACTCAGGACACAATAAAACGGAAGAAACGATTTGCACATTTTTCGGACATGTCAAATAATTCGGATATAAAGGATATATCGAAGCGTTGCTTGTGTCCCTGGAAAACAAAATGGAACTACGATAGTAGAAGAACTCCGGTATTTATAGCAAAGGCTATATGTGGAAAAAAGTGTAATTTTAATTTCACAAGCTCACAGCTGTCTTATTTATCGGATGTGTTAACTTCGTGTGAACCTTTCACAAGAGGTATATTGTATAACATGTTTTCACGTTAAACCTTTAAATTGTCTACACGCAATAAACGTTTTGATATTGTAAAACCTGACATTACATTTACTATTTACCTTCCTAGTTTTTTTAAGTATGTAAATAAAAAGGGTAGCAAACTAGGACCAAACATGTGATCACTGAATGCTGTAATTAGGCAGTTTTTTGTGCACAAACGTAACTGCTGACAAACTGTTATGAATCTCGAAATAACGGAATCTTCATATAAGGAACAATGTAAATAAAGTAATACTCCCTTTCCTCATATCCAAAAACTAAATTTAACATACTTATACCATAAAATAAACAAGAACATAATGAACACAAAGTAAACAATACACAGCCATGAAAGTTCGTAAATTTTCTGAATAGCCTTTTTAACATTAAATATAACCTTGGTCTCCTGATAAAGAATACAAGAGATTTCAATTTATGTAAACAGTTGACTTAAACAAATACAACTTAAATTTAAACAAATGAAATGGATAAAGTACTTCCGACTTGGCACATGTGTTAATGATTAAGCATTCCATAAGTTAAAAAGCATATGTAAATGTTGCTTAAGGCCTGAACAGACGGTAGGATTTAGCTGTACAACACTTATTAAAGATATGATGTACAATTTTTCAAAGAAATACAACACTTGCATTCAGACCTTAAGAATAACCAGGTTTCCCTCCAAAACAATTCCATCCTAATAGATCACTAACAGAATTTATTTACTATCATGAATGAAAAATGTGTAAATGTTATATAATTTAGGAAATGCAATGTTCTATAATGCATAACATAACTGAGCACCCTAACGCCTGTCACGTATTTTGGTCTCACGGTGAAAAATTTACTTTCTGCATGAGTAATTATAAAAACTCATTTTTTGAGTAATTTGGGTTTCGAACATGCCACAACTTGGGAGCTTAACATCCTATTAACTTCATCTTACTAGTACTATGTTTACTAAATTTATCCCTAATTGTTCTAGGGGAATTCATACATTTAACACATGCAGTTTAAAACTCCTTGATAACCAAATATCTTTTAATTTTGAGATTTAAATTGTGGAAATTTTACATTTAACTTTTCACCTTTTTTTTCCATAACACTAATAAATGTAGAAAGGAAACCCTTTTAACTAAAATAAAATTTTTAAAATGATTTTATAAAAATTTTTTTTTTTTTGAAATTAATTTTAAAAAATTTTAAAAATTTACCTTTGGGTTTTAAAATTTTTTATTAAAAACCTAAAAATTTTGAAAACCAAAAACCATTTTTCAAAAAGGAAAAAATATTTGGTATTAAATTTTTTTCAATTTAAAAATATTTTTTAAAAAAATTCAACAAAAAGTTAAAATTTTTAAAAATTTTTTTCAGTTATTTTTTTATTTTACTTGTGGCACAGTAATCAAACCAGTAGCCTGACTGCTAGTACAAACAAATGTTTTACTTTTTATACAGTTTTGCGGTGAAAAAATTTTTTTTTTTTTGTTTAGGGTTTGACTCGGAATTCAATTCTGTCATTACTAAGCAGAATTTAATCAACGTCTTTAAAAAAAAAAATTTTTTTGAAAAAAAAAAACAAAAAAGATGTTTTTTAATTGTAAAAATAGTTATTGTTAAGTTTCTTGTCATCTAATGTTGTCAAAGGTAAAAATCGGGTCCAAAGTAGATGCCCGGTTGTAAAGAACAGAAAAGGGCAACGAAAGATAAACCGTAAAAGGGGCGGCGTAAACCAGCGACGTTGAAAAATCGGAATAAGAAGCTTGCACGACAGAAAAAGATCAAAAGGAAACAAAAAACTTTGCGACCGTTTTCTCGTTTCAGTCACAGGATATTTTGATATCTAGTGTAAATGGAAAGTCAAACTTGAGTCTGAGCATGATCTTTTGCCTGAAGATGACAAATTTAAGAAGCCATCGCACTTTGATATATCATGGCATAGCAAGTATCGTTTGCAAATACAACGATTTATGATTTCGATCATGCAAATGAAACGATTTACGATTGTCGTTGCACGAGATAAGGTTATGTATATATATTGTACAAATTAGCATGGCAGAAAGTCGGTATGCAATGTTGTCACCATTGTTAGATGACAACATTTATATTTAAAAATAAAAATGTGATATTATACAAATAGTATACTAGTAGTCTTTTGTTAAATAGACGAATTATTACTTAGATTTTTTTTAAATGATATTACTTTTAAATTATTAAAAACGGTATTTTCATGAATCATGAATAAATATAAAATGTTTAGCGGTAAGATGAAAACTGTATAAAGGATTGAAGATCGATATGCCTTTTGTTTCATTTTTACAAGTCAATATCTTCATAAAACGTTCAAACATTACTTTCCGGATATTTTCCAAGTATAAAAGATTAACAATTTAAAGCGTATTTGATATCTTTAAATACATCCTGCTTTTTATAATCATATCATAATATTAAGGACCGGTTCATGGAAATCTTTACCAAACGGTTAATAGGATATAAAATTATCAATAAAGAATTGCAATATACAGGGACATTGAGATGACATTTAATTATTTTCTCATATAAATAAAACAACGTTCAAAGCGAGGTATTTATATTCTAAATTAATGTGAAATATATGAAGAATACATTATTTATTGATTAGCATGTACAAATAGAGCATCAAACGAAATCTTATGTGGCGGTAGTAGATAAAGCTATACGTGGCGACATTTTTCAAGTATTATTGTTTGTTATGCGACTGGCATTTAAGGGTTTATCGGTCCCTGTTTTTGCAATATAAAAAATGCTCTTTTTTAATCGGACTTATTCAAATTGGTTGGCTGGCAGTTTATAAATGTAATCCGGGTTATTTCCCGTACGGAAAATACCCTCCTATTTGTTTTTGACAACCCGAAACATTCTCCTCCCGTAATTCTTATAAGGCAAACAATTTCCTCCCGTTGCTTTTGATTTTGTTTTTCAGCCCCGATATATTTTATCAATGACAGTTCTGCGCTCGTACATCTATAAAAATTAATATGAAAATGTATTGACGTGAATAAAAAATATTATGAAAAACGTATTGTCGTAATTAAAAAACGACATCTCTATAAAAATGTTGAATTAAAAGCTAAACTTCACCTACAGGCATTTGATTAGTCATTGCCTCGGGGTACGATAAATAAACATGTAATTATGCTTGTTTCCTTGACTTTACAAAACCAATAATTATAAATAATCATTTTATTTTCAAGAAATTTATTACAGATTAAGATCTACTTTAATTTGTTCGGATTTGTTTTCGGAAATTATTTGTTTTGATTAGGCTCTAAGTGTGGAAACGATGTTCAAAATAAATTTTAAAATATGACACACTAGTTCAACGAGTTAAGAGTTTTTAAAAAATGGCCCAAAATAATTGGGAGTGAAATCGTCCGGGAATGGTTCGTTAGCAATTCTAGAATAGTACATAGTGACTGGTTGAACTGGTTAACACACAAAAAAACACATAAGATAAAAGACATGGCCACCACATAAACTTTCTGTTACAACAAATTGCCTTTCTCTCTACCCCCCTCTCCGTATCATGAAATAGGATTTCAATATTCCCTTCATCATAATTTAATAAGATTAAGAAATTACTTTTTATATAATGTATAAGCGTACTAGTCAGCCTTTATATGTTATATTTTTACATTAGCAGTAATAATATGAATGTATTTTAAATTATAAATGTCTGTACGTTTTCACAATAGTCACCGGAAATAACATGAGCTCAGAAGACCATAAGCTGTTTAACAAGATTTTAAGGACATTTTCTCACCAAGTAATAAGCATGCGAGGGTGTCAGCATTAATATTCGACATGGATTAAAAACGTCTTCCAACTATCAGTTATTATAGTTAAAGTGGCGTGGGACAAAACTATTAATTAAAAGGGCAGATTGTACTTTCGCTTTATCACGCGGCACATGCACCTACTTTAAAACACATTGATGTAATATCACACTTTTATAATAATACCGATATGCCGACAGCTTAAAGGTACAATGTACTAAAACTTTTCACTTATAATTATTCTAATATACAACGATCCTATTGCTTTTTCTGAAGATATATATTAATATCGATATATTGATATCGATATATTGATATCGATAAACAATAAACTTAATATTATTTATGTCTGACTCTAGTTACTCCGACAAAGAACCTTAACATATGAGCCGTGTCACGACAAAACCAACATAGTGGTTTTGCGACCAGCATGGATCCAGACCAGCCTGCGCATCCGCGCAGTCTGGTCAGGATCCATGCTGTTCGCTATCAGTTTCACTACTTGTTATAGGGTCTGTAAGCGAACAACATGGATCCTGATCAGATGACGCGGATGCGCAGGCTAGTCTGGATCCATGCTGGTCGCAAACCCACTATGTTGGTTTTGTCGTGACACGGCTCATATTATTTGACAGATCTAAAGTCCCTCTCCATCAAAGATCCCGACAGGATTCAAAGTGGCGATGGTTAAGTGCTATGGACCTGTCACAAATTATTTGACATGTATTATGCAGTCATGAAAAAAGTATCAAACACTCTAACATATACGTGAAGTGTTAAGGGTTACCACCAAGGATAAACCCTGAAGCGTGAACAAACTATATATGTTGAATGAAATTAAGTCGCCGACAGAATCACCGAGTGATTTTAAAACAAGTCATGGGCCTTTAACAAACCCTGGAAGTTAGAATTACAGATATTGTGGATGTTGTATGATTAAAACAAGTGTAAGTCATTCATTTGACATGTACTTTAACGTTTCCAGAGTTCACTGTGACAAATATTGTGAAATCTTAACGCTCTAACCTGACCCACGTGGGTCAAGTTAGAAAACCACACTTTTATTCTTTATAAGGAGAAAGATTTTTAATTCCTGTGTCAGTCTACTGTTTTAATTTTGAAGACATTTACAGAATATTGAATGAAAAATTCAAAACTTAGAAATTAAAATTTTGCCTATGTCTCTCTTTAACAGCTTATTGATAAATAATACATCGTTTAAAGGAAATACCTGATAACCTTACGAGTAATCTTTTGGAGAATAACTGGTGCGTTTTTACTCTTAAGTGCCCTGTTTAAAGATTGAAAAATTGGGGATTTATTACATTAGATCGGCTTGTTTGAATTTCCGGTATAAAACTGTACTCTATTTAACCCGTCAAATCATTTTATGAAGATAAACGTGTGTTTATATTTCTGTCGCCTTTATGTATAGTTACACATATTCTGGTGTTTAAATAAATCTGCTTTCAATCAAGTAATAATGAACATTTGAATTGAGTTATAATATTCTAAATACGTTCAGTGTCATTTGATGGACTAATTACAATTCTTTTAAAAATGCGGATGATATCATGTTTTAGATGCATCTTGCTTATATATGGAATTAGTGTTATCGGCAATGTGAACGGGAAATCTCGGAAGAAAAGTTCCTTTTTAAAGAAAATTGAACTTGCAAAATCCACGGATAATGATAATAGTTTGAGAAATGATGATGACAAGCGGGACAACTTATTTAATCCGGTTTTGCAAAACTTTACGTCACTATTTGAATATTTGAATGCCGCGCGTCGTGATTCTCATAAGGTAAAGAGCTCTCGGAAAAAGCGGCAGTCACGGCAAAGGAATTGCGCGGGTCAGTGTGAAGATTCTCTGTGTTCTTGGCACGAGGAATATGATGAAGAAAGCACGAGAATCCCGCGATTTATAAAGTATGCAGTATGTGACAGTGCAACATGTAACTTTGGTTTTGGTGGCTTAGATTTCCGCACGACGTATTCGCTTCAAGTTCGTACACAGTGTGATCTGGTTAAAACGGGTAATTTAAATTCATTTCATTCCACCTTTTTCAACATCGAAACAATTTTGGTTGTTAAATAAAATAGAGTGAATTGCTGATTTCGGTAAATATGTACAGGACGATTAAATCACTTAAGACTGAAATATTTTTTATGTTTACTTATACAGAACTTTCCGTCATTTTATTTAAATATAACTACGAGTACCAAAATAACGCCAATTAAAGCTCATGACAATGTTTATAAGTTATAAAGTTGTATTTTGCTATGCCTTCCAATGCATATAATAGGAGCAAAAATTTTACTATTTATTTCTAATCCACGCAGTTGTAACCGTGTAATATGCCTACAATGGTCTATTTTTCTACCGGATTGAAAATCGTAAGATGAATACCGTACACTTAACTATATTACATTTATATTATATAATTCATGTTCGACAAACATCAAAAAGAATGTGTTTTTAGTATATACACGACTTTTATTTTTTAAGATCTTTTCTAAATTGCTTACATACATTTATATATAAATCATCAAACAATTAATGGACGACAACATTACAGAGAGCTGCATGTTTTTTCCGTTTTTTGAAATTATTTGTTATGTTTGTTTCATTTAGTTCTAATGCCTTTATCTAAGAGTGTATTAAAATCTTCTGCATTCCTGTAAATGGTTTTAATTTTTCTATATAGATATTCTTGTAACTAACACTGAGGATGGTGAACAGAGATGGATAACTAATTGGCCAATAGCTTGCGTCTGCACGGAGAGGTTTGCAGTTCCTTCAGTAGTGTACGGTCATGAAGGCAGGCATTCTGAGCAGGGTAAGTCACCTAGCCTTATCTGCATTGATAAGAGGATATTTTAATATAATAAATGTTTATTTTATGCTTTTGAGTGGGTTTCTGATTTATCCGTGAAAATTTTATATCGATAAGTGCACAGTGAAAATTATCAAAATATAATTCGACTTTTTCAATGAAAAGACTTCTTTATATAAAGATGTTCCAAAGTGGTACCTCACTTTTATTTATGCTTTTAATTCCGACAGAGCACAGTTGAAATTTGTAAAAAGCTTAAATTTGAAACGTAATCATAAAGATCAAACCTGCTTCAATTTATTCAATTTCAAGATCACCAAATTCCTCTCTACATATTCGTCTCTATGTTTTGATTTCGTTCATAACAGTCTTATAATTACTCTTTTATCGTGCAAACTACCCAAAGGATAAGTAAATAACCCAGCGTACGTAAGACAGCCTTTCAAATGATTCCAAATTCCTAGTCAACACATATGTCAACAATTAAGTATTGTCTGTAACAATCCACGAATAAATATAAAATCCAAATGAAATCCCTTCGAATCAAACACATTTCATTCTTTCCTCGCTTGAAATAAACAACGTATATTCGGGCTGGTGTAACTTTTTCATTTTTTTTAATGTCCGTTTAAATGGCTAAAACAATCAATCATTCATTTTTTAAATAAATAATTTCATCACCATTAAAGTTGATTTTCGAACTTATTTTCAGCTCAAGGTTTCTTATATTTATAAGAAATCTGTCTTAAATTGAGGCTACCAGTGGGGACGTTAATATTGCGGGAATTTAATTCAAACTTTTTTTGAGCATAAAAAAGAAAATTTGTTTGTTTCATCTCGTGAACTTAAAGAACTGTATTATCACTGGGGGCTGCGCCACTCTTGCGTATACTGTTTATATAATCACTCGATAAAATAAAATTTCGTCTCACACACAAACAAATAGATATTCTATATATCTTGAACGATTTATGGTAGTAATAACAATTACAAAAAAGTATTGGTTGAATGAGAATTAAGATGGGGTGGACGGCGGGGGGGGGGGTAATTATAAGGAAGTGAGAGGCAAGTGTAATAATTACAGTTCAATCTCGCCATTCCTTTTGACACCGGATTACTATGCCCGCTCTAAAAGCTCGCTTTAAACGTAAGCTTTTACAAAGCTCAATCGTAGGATACTGTGTCGTTGCGCATGAGCAAAATGCTCCCAAACGGTCTGTTTTTGTCGACTCGAAGATAATTTTCTTTTTTAGTCTAAGAAATCGTTAGAATATCAAAAAAAATGAACCGCACCAAAGATTATAAGTTTTACTGTCTGGTTTAAGCCTGAAAAACGGGATAAATTTTTGTTTTGAAGTCCGAGTTGAAGCATTTAGGAAACACAAATTCATTTCACTAGGCAGTGAATCTTTAAACGTTTTAAAATTTGTATCAAGTTATATAACCAATCGTTGGTGCACTGCATTATTTTTGATATTCTAACGATGTTTTAAAATAAAGTCGACGGTATGTTTACAAAAATAAACTGGTCGTATTAGGAGCATTTTGCAGGTGCAGATGACGTAGTATCTTACCATTTAAACTACCTTTGCTTTTTTAGTATAACAAATTAGGAGACGTAAAATATACATGTAACTCGAATCGTTTGAGTAAGTAAAATGACGTTAATATGTAGTGCGTCCTTCTGTTTCGATAAAGATTCGTATTAGTATTTATTGTAACGATTTGTTCTCTCCTTTTTATCCTAGAAGCAGTTGACGTTGATATCACACACAATGGACCTCTTACACCAGTGTCACGTCAGCAAATCATTCTGAATGACGTCAGACGCAGACCCTTAACTCACTCACAAAGACGCAGGTTACATAATCAACAACGTCACATGCAAAGTGAAACGTGGGAACACATGATGCTGAGGAAGTACAACAGAACATAATTAAGTGACACATTTCTGTAAAATCATTTTATACAAAAGGGAAATGACTCTGACAGAATAATGAATACATTGCTCTTTTCATGCAGTAAAAAGAACTCTAGAAAATTACAATTCTAACACGCTTCATTTTATTCCCCTATCAACCAGATTGGGCAACACGTCAATAAAACAAATGACGTCAGGAAAATTACTTCTACGCACATTGTAGTTTAGCATATTTTTAATCAATTCTCTTTTTTATGAGCATGTTAGAATAGAAATAGATATTAATTTTTCGTGCAATCGGACTGAAAAAAACCCCAGATCTATTTAACTTATTTCTTGCATGTAAATCTTACTTCCACCGTACTTGTTTCGCCTTCATTATGATTCGGATTTTCCGAGAAAGCTACTTTTAGCCATGCAATACAGATAACCATTAGACGAAGTATCAAAATATCGCTGTCCGTGAAAGTAAAGCAAATTGTTGACTTAAAAAAATGTTTAAAGTAATTTGAAACAAATTGATTGGAAATAATAGACTCAATTTTTTATGGGCAAGATTGTATTGTCAGTTTATCTGTCGGCCATATTGACAACGCCACGTTTGTTTTCAAAATCGTGAAAATAAGTTACTAAGTATTGTTTTTCCAGCGGTTAAAATTAGAAATTGTATCACTTTCAAAATTGTGAAAGCTCGCCGATGTTGTTCGAAAGGTCACGAGAAGTTGACCTTCAATCGGTGTCCGTCAGATCCTAATGCTGAGCGTTAATAAGGAGATAGCATAATAATGCACGGTTTCTCGTTCAAATGCTTTAAAATTATTCACTCAGGACTATCGGCTTTCTTGATCAATTCCTGTGCATTTGAACTCGAACCGTGCATTTCTCTACAACAATGCACTCAAAATGCATATCTATTCCTAAGTATAAAACGGTATAAATCATTAAAGGTATTCCTTTTCAATTACTCATGCAATTCATTGTCATCATATATAACATATTAAAGTATGGTTTTGTCCTACACATTTATTTTATACAAAGTTTGTGTAGATAGCATTTAATTGTATTATCAAGATAAATGAAAAATGTCATTTTGATATACATACAGCACTTTACAAAAATTCTCTTTATGTATACTCTTCTTCAAGGTCGAAAAAGGGAGATTTTTTAATACAAACAACTTGGCATATTTCAAGAAGATAAGATGAATTCGAATTATACATGTAAGATAAAGATTGTATTATAGTCAAGTCAAGTCATAGTATTTAAAAGTTTTCGCCACACATAATTGACGGTTAGATTAACAATAGTAATATAATATTGAAAAGTATTAAAATATATCATTCATGTTACATTTTCATGTTTTAAAAAAGGATTGGCATATTTAAGTACACATAAACACATACAATACAAGTCAAACAATATAACTTATATACATTTTCCAGCAAAGCGCCCCAAGTTCTGAGTGGAACAAACTTTCAAAAATTTAACTTATTAATAAAATATATATTTAAAAATATTTTGAATACTCAAGAATAAGCTAAAACTTTAGGTGAAAATTCTACTCCATTACTAACAGGGTAAACGAAATTACGTCATGCACTATATTTTTGAGAAATTACAAGTTCTTTCTATGGATAAATAAGAAATTTATTCTTCACAAACTGAATGTGCATAAAGTAACATTAAACCACTCTATAGTTTATTTTCTCACCTTACTTTATACAGTTTTCCAATCATAACGGTTTTACAATTCAAGCAAATGAGTAACAACAAACTTGTGATCTGCATAGGTGTTGAATGGATTATCAGTGGTCTCAATAAAGCGGTTAGATAAAGAATAAAACAAGGCATTGGGACTGAATTTGTGGTCTCAAAAATCGACAGGTGAAGCAGTCTTAATTAATTGTTAAACATGTTACCATTAACTTTAAGAGCAGAAAATTTCGTTCTTTTACAGAATTGTTCTAAATAGGGGGTGCTCTTAATTTCGGTTATGGTCTTAAGTAAAGATTTTACTTTACTTTACTTTTAATTTTACAATCTTATAAACAGTTTACTCATCTAAAAGATGTAGTAAAAAATATTACAAACTGGAGGCGTGCTGCTCCAAGGTAAAGACCTCTCCAAAAACGCAAAATATAGACTTAAAAGTTAGTGTAATAACAATTGGTTTTCTAAGAGTCTAATTCATACATAGAGGAATCTGAAAGTGTTAATTTGTTTTCATCCCACTAAACATCATCAAACTCTAATTACTTCCCTTTTCCAGGCATGAGATATATAACGATTACTTCCCTTTTCCAGACCTGAAATGTTTAACAAGAACATTTATTAACTGTTATACATTTTACATTCCAACTTTGTTCTAAAAGTTTTTTATGTATTTTGTCAATCGTAAGGGGAAAACAAAGTTCAGACAATCCTGTACAAAACTGGACTCTATTGGCAGGCAGTTATTATAGAAAAGCTGATTGCATAAAACAGGTTTATATTTATATGTCTGTTACAAATAGCCATATATAATCCTTTAAGAAATAATAAAATAAAACAAATTAAAATTTCACTGTTATTTTCTTTCTTTCGCATCACATTTCCTAAAAAGAATCTCAACTCAGCGTAATTAAGGTCTGCTAAAATGTCGCATGCTTAATATTTGAAGTTTAACCAGTATTTTCTTTCGAAAAAGTAACCTAAGTTGTTGACAAAAATTACTATGATTTGTGTTAGCAAGCTTAAGTAAAATGTCTTACCCGCAGCATCTGCCGAAGTAGCAACAGACAAATAGTATTAGCATAACCAGCACCAGTAACAAAACAACAACTACGGCAATCAGAAACCAAAATAGAACTGCAATAACAAAAAGAATGTTCGGGTATTTTTTTAATATATAAGTTGTTTGAAACATAAGTACAAAGTATTTTTTTATTTAATGTTAAAACACAAATTGCGTTCACATTATTGTATGCCCTTTTTATCCTTTCTTATTGTAAATGACAAACTATTTTATGGATTTATCAATATGTATCTTTCTTTTTTTGTAAATCATGTTTTATTACAGACATGTCAAAACTTATGGTTAATTTTTGTCTGTCATAGGCGATACTTCTTAAACTAAATTCAATTATCTTCTTTTCAACTTATTTCCATTGAAATAACTATTATACGTTTTGTTGCTGTTTTTTGTTGTTTTTTCTTTGTCTCCAACTCTCAAATATTACTTAATTTATATATATATATATTTAAAAGCGGACAGACAGTTTAGAAATAGCTCATTCTACATAGGTAATAAAATCAAAACTTACTTTCCGTATCTCTTTCATATTCACAAATAGGCATAGTTCCTTGCCAATTCCCACCAATGCACGTTAATTTGTTAGACCCAACCAGACCATAAAACCGGAAACAGTTATACGTCACATCACCGGTCCATGAAGGTCCACCGGAAAGCGAATCATAGGAAACGAATCCGTTAGCAACTCTAGGCGGTGACGTACAGGACCATATTGAGTTATCTTCACTATATAACGATAAATACACAAAAGCGGTCAATATATGATCTAGGACATATCTGCTTTAATATTGAATCAACAGATCGCTAAACAAATTAAATAAATGAGCATGAAAAAAGAAAGGACAGAAGAAATTAAATAAATAGAGCAAAAAAATTATGATGAACAATTACAAAGAACCATTGGCTAACAATTATATGAAAAATTCAAAATAAACCTTTTGCCAATAGAAAGAAGATCGGAACAGTCGGCTGTTGGATATATACGTGGGAACGTAGTGCCCTTGTATAAATCAGATTGCCGAGCGTTTTAACGTTCTTTCTCTTTTGTATCATAGACAAAATGAAACGCATTCCCTGTCGTCACATATGAAAACACCAGAAAAAATGTAACCAATGTACGAGAATATGGATATTACTTTTCATCGTTATCTCTTTTCCTGTTTTCACAATAAATTGTATACTTGAGCATGAAACATTACATTCATTGCTTAGTACTGGTTGGTTCCAGGAACGTTTTTATTCGAGAGTGTTTCAATAAGCTTATAGCTTCCAATACAATCGAACTAAAATCAATTTGTATAATAATATAATAAACTAAACTATAAGGAAATCACAGAAAAAAATAGCCAATCGAAGAGTATGTTCTAGTTTTATACTCAGTGCGGCAACTGGTGTTCGGGTAACTAATACCTGCGCTCCGGTGAACGCGCTGTGCATGTTTTGGTATATGATTTAACTGCAACACATGTTCAATGTTCAAAGGTCTCTGAACTATGAAAAAAAATATTATTCAATTTATTAACATTTATTTGTATTTAGACATACAAAATAGAAGACAAGATAATACACCCGGTGATTGGGAAGACTAATTAGGATATATAACATTGTCTGGGAATGATCTTACGTGATTCACGCACAAATTTCTCTCAGGAACAACAAACATATTTAACAAACATGTTGAACTAGGCAAATCGGTTTTATTAAAATATTACACTAAAACAAATATTCCTATATAAATGTAATTAAAAAACTTAAATCTACTTACAAGATAGAACACAAAATCCAAATAGTTCTTAATGCAGCAACTAGCTTAAAATATTTACTCTACGAATCGGGCGTTATATTTTGGTAATTCGTAAACAAATCAGTAAACATACAGAAATAAAAGATTTAATAAATGATATGCTGTCGCATCTTAATTCATTCATAGTGACCTGTGGCGCCCGTTAAAAGACTGAACGGCGAAAAAGAATCTTGTGACTTAAGATATACGCATAAATTATCATGGTTTAATAAATGCGTATTTTGAAATCCAATCGGGCGTTATATTTTGATAAATCTTTAATGATAATATATCGATTTGATACAAAAATATATAATATTAGATGTACAAGAGACAGTATTCATTTTTTCGGTCGTTATGTTTTGAGATGAACGGGTTGATAATTTGATTTATTCGTAGTTATGTTCGCTTAGCTGTATGAATGCAATAAATACCCGGTATACTTGACAAACGTGTAATTTGTGAAATTCTACGTCATTCAGTAAATTGACTGTTGGTTGTGAAATACCCTTGAACATTAATTTATACGTGTTACCTATTAATAGGTATAAAATATCGCAAGGAAACATTAATTTAGTCTAGCTATAGTCAATTAAAAAAGTAATATTTCTATACGAATGTTCGATAATTAAAAACTCTTTGATGCAGTTTTATGCCTATGATACCCAACTTTACGTTGGTAACCCTAGGCTGCAGTTATTGAAAGTGGGAATCTTTTTCCATCAGTATAGAGCCAGGCCAGCCTGCACTGTCCGAATTATGTTGCCTTTGAAATGTTTCTGGTATCATATTTAAGATTGTGGAAGTTTTAAATAAATCTACAATACAGTATTTTATTAACATTGCTATATGTCTATTAGCCCGGGTTCCACTCTGTCGATTTTTTTATGTTTCTGTTTGGCAAATCGACAGTTGATACTATCAAAACGACGAACGAATATGGAATAGCGCATATGTTACGAATAAAGAAAAAAAAATGTTATAAATGAGCAAAAACTATCAACGCCTGAATCCCAGGCTATATGTCTATATTGAACTCCAGCATACGCCTGAAATTATCATCTTATTAGCCCTTAGCCTGATGCGTCACAACTTATAGTCCTTTCGGACGGACTGACAGACAGATACATCGTCATGTGGACATACATAGAGACAGACTGTAAAATAGAGAAAGACTGTAAACTGACAGACATACGAACAAACTGACACAGACAGAGAGTAATTTGTTGCAAGAAAAGGACTTGTGTCAAAACTTAAAATATTGACGCTAACTCTTCGTCCAATATAGTTTTGACAGCTGTGTACTCGTCAATGTTCCAAGTGTAAAACAGTAAATAAAAACTTTGATCCGAGGACAAAATGTACATGTTATGATAAAACAATGACTTGAAATTATCACTAATTACTATTAAACTTTAACTGCTCAAAATAATAGCATCTTAATTGATCATGATAATGTGTGAAAAGGCTGCTTTAATTGGTGTCCTCTTAACTATATTAAAAGTACTTCCCTCACTAAGTAGCTTCAAACATATTGTCATTAGCATAGACCATACACTTAATGGAGACTGACAATGAATTGTTTAATAATTTGTTCACTCATTGTGCTTATTGCAACGTTAAAGAGCGGCGTTTTGTCAAAGGGTTATGCAAAAATACCATTTCGAAAGTACGAATTCTTAGGAAACCAGCATGAACAAAGAAGACACGTTCTCGATTCTGAGAATCTGCGCAGAAATGGAAAGATAGAAAGAGTTCAATCCAGAGACACTCTGTTGTATGACCCGGTATTTAAAAACCACACTGCCCTGGCTGATTTCTTGAACAAATACGATGATGAGAAGGAAAGGGATTTTGAAATGAACATAGATGGATCGCAACCACGAAGTAGAGTGTCAAGCGATGCAACATGCACAGGATTGTGTAAGACGTCAATTTGTCCTTGGACAGTGGAAGTAGATACGGATACAAATAGGATTCCAGAGAATATTCAATATGCAAGATGTCTGTCTGACAAATGTCATTTTCCTGGAATATCACCATGGTTTATATATAGACTAGAAATGGAAACACAATGCGAAACATTCAGGAAAGGTGAGAGTTTGCTTTACTTTAGATAAAATATAGGTTTGAAAAAGATTTTTTTATACGAAAAAGCAAAAATGTTTTAAAAAAGAAATTTTAGCGTATCTCTGTTCATCCTCTGTCACTGTGGACTATCCAGGATGGGTAACATCTTGGTTTTCATTTGATTAGATTCAATAGTTGATTTTATTATACTTATAATCGTAGTGTGTAATAAGGGACACAAAACCAAGGAATTTTGATCTCCAGTAAACTGGATCGAATATGCTATTGAAATATCTGTCAATTCAACCAAATGATATACAGAACAGAGCATAATAGTTTACTTTACGAATTCTTAAACAGGCAAGCACAACATAAAAGAATCATAAAATGAAGATAATTATGCTAGTATGACATGATTTCTTTCCAAGCTTCTTGTATTCATGTGATGGATGTGCTCCGATTTGCATTTAAAACAATCTATGAGAGGTTTAATGGCTTATAATATTAAAATACCAATAGTTAAGAGCCTGGACAAACTGGAAATTATATTAGTTGTCAGCTGGTCATTGGTTAAGTGAGAATGTAAGACACAAAACACTTATAAAACTAATAGAATGTGGTTTCGTCCTTAAATTTCAGTGTGGTTGCTCATATTGCGAGTTGTTATTTGATATCAGGGTAGTGCGTGATACAGTAGTTGCAACGTTCCAGAGGCGTCATGCCCGGTTTTTAGCATCGATATATGGGATCTCGGTTTTTACATTAGTATTATGTACTTGTAAAAGAGCGGGAAATCGAACCTGTGACCCCTGAATTACGAGTCATGACACTTTAGAAGGTCAATATTCTAAAACATTTCTTATTGAAATAAATACAAATAGACATTTAATCTATCTAAAAGTAAAACGTTGTGAAGTGAACAAAGATTGCAAACGGCACAAACAATCTACGTAAATTACAAAGAGGTCAAAATATGCACATAAAGCCCTTACCTAGTCAAGTAGTAGAAATATGGTGATAAATAATGCGAAATCAGTCATTAATCGGTTAATAAAAAGTATAAATTACTACACTTGAATCTTAAACCATTTTCCTTGTCTTAAAAGTTTTGAACACAAATCTCTCAAGTTTGAATTTCTTAAAATATTTTGGCTCATCTGGAGGCATGTAGTTTTAATAGTTATAGAATATAACATATTACAACGACACAAATAACTATACATGATAACTACAACTTACTGTATATTAAGCTATATATATTTTATATTTTAGATATCTATGTATCAATAAACGGAAAAGGAAAGTGGATTGAAAATTGGCCGGTAGCATGCATTTGCGCTAGTGCCAAAACAAAGAAGCACAACTTTGGGGCATCATTGAAAAAGAAACAAACTAACGCAAAGACTAATTTGGTGGTCCAACCTCTATGTAATGTAACACAGTATTATGTCTTATATTCATTCTCTTATATATTTCTAAACTACGAATTAAATCTTACACACCATTTCAGACTTCTGACAAAATTGTCCAAGAAATGTCATAATATACATAGATTTAACGGTTTACATGTTCATGCAATGCTATGATATGATAAGAAACTTATTTTACGTAATACATAATAAATTTATCGATTGAATTTTATTTTATTATTTTATTTTGTTTTATTAATAAATAAGTTTTTATTAACTATTTTTGTCTTTTTTAATTAATTAATTGATTTATTAATCATTTATTTATTTATTTATTTATTTATTCATTTATTATTTTATTTTCTTCATATTTATGTTCTTGGTGAAAGTAAACATTGATATTTTCAGTTACTACTTTGCAAGTGTTTTTACTGCAAATGATATTTTCTAAACCACCTTTCTCTGTTACAGTGAAAGATAATGTTATCGCTGACAAAGAAAGTCAAACAGCATCAAAGCGGGGAATGCAACAGAGATTAAACGCAAATGCATTCGTCAAAGTGATTGAAAAAGTCAATTATGGAATAGAAAAGAAAAGAAAACTCATAAATACTTGATAGATCCTAGGTGGCTCTAATCAATTAAAAACTATAATATTTTATTATATATATCATTCATATTGAACGAAGAGACATCCTTAAAACATGCGAAATAAACTTTTCATCGCACTTGAAAATACGGTTAGAATATAATTTATAATTTTTTTTAAGTTAAATTTAAATCTAAGGTTCATGTATTGACAAAAGGCAAGCTCAGAAGGTCCGGGAAATTATCTTCTTCTTAGTTATCGTTACTTAATCGATGAGTGCCCATTCGTTTCACATCCTTAAGCAATCGTCAGAATTAGATTTATCATTACACAGATCTAACAAGAGGAAGGAGACAACTGGTTAAATCAATTACAGATACTAAATCAGACCATCTTATGACGTCATATAGTTAAAATTATTAATACATGTACAAATGTACTGTATTTGTAACATGCATGTACAAAATAGCCTTGACATAAAGATATAGCGACAATGTGTTTGCAATTTACATGTCTTTTTAATCTTTTATGTAATGAGTTGAAATTTCGGCTGAAAATCACCCATGTAATTAAAGATAGTTTCAATTCTCACAGAGAGAGAAATGCAAATAAATTTACTTTACATTTTGAGGGAATAAACTCTATATTATAGCTGTTTACTCCAATGTACCCCAAATTAAATGAAGTGAGTGAATTTATGAATAACTGAAAATACTTTCAAAATCGAGAGTACAATGAATATATGAATAATGAAAATATTTTTATAGTTGAGTGTACAAGATTATGCGCCAGATATTTTACAACAGAAAGAGACATAATTTACCCAAAAAATATTTTATTTCATTTGTAATACAGAAAACGATAGTGATTTTTCAGTTGTTGTATTTCATCAATGGCCACGCGACTTCACAAAACCTGTTTGCTACATGTTAAAAATGTTATAGAAACATTTAGACAATTGCATCCCAAAGGATACACAAGAAGATAGCTTAAATTATAATGCAGATAATGTGTCAGACGACTTTAATATATTGTTTCATATTAAGTAAAATAGAAGTTGAGATAAGCTTTTTGTAACGTTCTATATAAAAGTGTAAAAATATTGTTAAGTATTTTATTCAAATTATATATAAGAAACAAATAAATGTTTGTGTTTATTCCATAAACCTGTGTTTGTTTTTTCTCATCACATACTTAAAAGTCTACAGTTGGAGGTTCTGGTAGAGATGAAGAATAGGCTGTGCAAAACTATAGACTTGAGCTACTTTTATGATTAATACACTTTATACCACTTTGATACTTGAAACTTGTATAGTTCGTTCGCAATGGTACCCTTACAACTCCGTCGATTTCGATTTATGGGATTGCCAAAATAGTTCGAACTTAGTTTTGTCACTTTTTTGGCCGGGTTCACATGTGCAAACCCGGGTTATAGTGTGGCGAATGTCGGGCGGCGGACGGGCGGCAGATGGGCGATTTCAGGCCTGTCGCTCATCCACTTTCTGTTTTCCTACTTAGTTTTTCCGATATTAATGGTCAATGATAGGAAATTTTCGTAGGTTTTCTCAGCAACTAATTATTACAGCCTCTTGATATTTGGCATACAACATTGGCAGATGGCATGGTTCCATACCGTATGATTCGATTTCAAGTGTGTCGCTCATCCGCTTTCTGTTTACTAACTTAGTTACATTTTCGACATTATTGGTCAATGGTAGGAAATTTTCGTAACTGTTTTCTCAGCAACTTCTGAACACAGCCACTTAGTAGTTGGCATACAAAATTGACACACGGTCCCATACAGTGGGATTCGATGTCAAGTATGTCGCTTATTCTTTTCCTGCTGACCAACTTAGTTAAATTTTCGACACTAATGGTCAATGGTGGGAAATTTTCGTAACAGTTTTCTCAGCAACTTCTTAACACAGCCGCTTGATATTTGGCATACATCATTGACACGTGGTCCCATACTGTGAGATCTGTCGCTCATCCACTTCCTGTTTACTGACTTAGTTAAATTTTCTGCATTTATGGTTAATAGTAAATAGTCAATGATATTTGGTATACGAATGCAACCCGGCCTTTTTTTTCATTGACCCATTTTTTACTTAAATTAAAACATGTCCAACTTTTTTTCTAAAGAAACAAATCTCTTTTAAGTCATTTGATTTATAGCTATCTATTATGTAAAGTTAGCCTTACACTAGACCGGAAGTTAAAGTGAATACTAAAGATCAACGACCAACTAAAATTGCCTAATAAACACTGATTTGCCTTAATACGTTTTTGAATGTGTTCATAGTAAACTTACAAGACATAACTATTTAATATTTAACTATATGAAAACAGGGCGGAACGGGGATTATAAGTTTTATCAAACCGGTGTAAGCTTTCAAAGTTGCAACCGGATAACATATATTTTGGGACTGTTTGACAATGATAATAGAATCTGTTTATTGTATGCATAACATAATCATAAGTATTATTTACACGATAGGGAAGAGAAAAACATTTTACAGGTCGGATTACATGGTTAATTAGTAGGGAAGTTAATATACGTTTTTATGTAAAGATGGGAGTAACAATGTGAACGATGTAATCATCGTTTGAAAAGGGTTTGAGTGAACTTAGAGGATTTTTCATTTTATTTGGACTCGAAAGGTAAATTATTCATATAGATTGTGCTTAATGTAATAAAACCTAAACGAATACAATATATGCTGAAAATGACTTGGTAATGTCGTCAGTAAAGAGCAATATACCAACCTGCAAGTACATGCAGTATCATAGTGCTCACAACAGCTTGCTTCCCGTTCCATATCCTGGCATGAACTTAACAATGACAGGTTTTGAATTCAAAATAACGCAAGACCATAACATTATTTTGAAGCTTCCTTAGCATCGCTGGTTGTGTACAATTTGCAACAGAAACGTATCCAAGTAAAACTGCTGGATTTAACTCAATACAGGATTGGAGCAGTACCTTTAGACGCTTGCAAAAATCATGATCACAAAATAGACAAATATCGTTTTTTTCGCCGGTTTTTACATTTTTCATGCATTATCATACATAAATCGGTGTGAAAAGATGAATTAGACCTTTTAAAGTTCATTCCGTTGGGTGAAAAGGCAAGATTTTAGCATTTTATCATTCAAGCGTCTTGTCCGGTATATACCGGAATACGGTATTTAGTGTGGTGCTCCAATCCTTTTTTTAGTCACACTCAAAACTGCTGAAGGATTGTTGGTACTCCGAGAGTACCAGTCTGTTTCTTTAAAGCTTTTCTTCACAATTGTCATGCTATCATACATACACAGATGCAACCACAAATTGCTGCATGACCCCAGCAAACACATGACGTTAAAATAACGTCGGATTAATGTTAGATTTTGGTCACGACGTCGGCGACCAAAATACGACGTAAATCTGACGTTAAAATACCGATGTCTAATAGACGTTTCTTTTTGACGTCGTACTAACGTCAGGTTATGGTCGGTGTCCTTACGGTAGGTAAAAAAATTACAAAAAATAATCCTTATTCGCTGTTGTAATCATTTAAACTTTTTTTCAAATGTTATTTGGATTACAAATGAAGTGTTCTTATATAAATACAGACTAAGATCGCGGCGCTGCAACCTAATAAAACATAAAGGTGGCGCTGTATATACGCAAGTTACATGTGCTATTGTTATGGAATCTATTTATAGCTACAGATCTGTTTACAAGTTCCAATCATTTAACGTTGTAATATTATCATTTGTGGCACATTATATGTATCAAAATGACGTGTTTTTAATAGTGCTTTAACATTTAATCATAGTGACAGAAAAGGGAAAGAAAACATAATTAACCTTTAATTCGAATCTAAAGTCACGTGGATGGAAATTCAAATTCGTAGGCGTTACGTTTTGGCTGCGGTCAGGAATCGGGATGCATTGATAAGTGAATACTATAGGTTTTCTTGAACAAAAAGGTCAGTTCAATTTATTTAGATTTATTTCTACTTTGTATTTGATAAATAATTGCATGATTGCAAGCACTCTTAAATTTAATTATCATTATTTGAACAGCTGAAGTAAAATGTCACACAAATTCGCGATAATGTCTAATAATAAATCTTTTTAAAATTGACATGTTTTAACTCTGCTTGTGAAGAGTTTATAATATGCCTTTCAGTACTACCAAAGAGAATGCTTAGTTTTCATATTTTTCTTAAACTGTGATGTTTTTGTCAGTTAAAATCTGAGAATTGACAATGAATTTGTACGATTTCGAGCATTTCGGACCAAGACGTTTCGGTCCCAAATAACCCAAAACGTTCCGGTCCCAAATAACGCAAGACGTTTTGGTTCCAGACATTTCGGCATTAAATCTTTAATTTAAAACTATGAAATATTTTAGACTTGCGTAACTGTTCTATTTCAAACGTAGAATATATACATAAGTTAGAATATAATTTTCTTTTCAGGGAGTTTAAGTGTTGGACATGCTCTCAAAGGTCGGAGGGACGGAAACACATGAATATGTAAAAAGAAACATATGAAAGTAAGATTTTTGTAAATTCTATTACATACTTTAATCCATACTAAACTGGAGTTTAAAAGCGGCTTTTTAAATGTTCAGTATTTATGTTTACTTTTAATTTTTGTTAAAGCTCTCTTATAAAAAGATGGCAAAATTGTTCATTAAGTTAATATAACCATGAAAAGATTTTTGCTTGTTATTTTTACATGTTTCATAATTTTTTTTTTCAGTGAAAATGATGTCACACACGCTATTGGGCGCTACATATCCTCCGGACAGACGAGGGGTGCTGAAAGAAGGTCATATCTTAAAGCATCACACCTCAAAATTCGTGCTAATTCTCATGGATATCTAAAAGTATAACTTTGTGAAGTAACTAAAAGGCAGCAATTTATACATTACTGACAATTATCAAAGGAGGTCAAAATATGCAAAATGGCACTAAATGTTTTAGAAATGCTGTAGAAATATAGTTAAAGTACTGAAAATCTGTCATTAATTGCTTGAAACATTATTATCAGAATCTTTTAACTTTTCTTAAAATTATAATATTTTCATTGTTTTATTTGATAAGGCAAACTTTGATAGAAATGTGCATACATTGTTTTGTTCTTAAATATTTGTACATGTTTTCTTAGTTTCATTTATGTCATTGTTTTTGTAATACTTTTTGTTTTGTAATTCACTTATTTTATGTTTTATTTTGTTTAATTTATGAAAATTATTTAACCTTGCAGAATTTACTAAAATTGTATGTATCAGCTTAAAATTGCAACTTTTATCTTAAATTAAAAAAACATGAAACATATTTTTGCTTTTAGTTTTCTGTTATACATTTCATTTGAGGGAAAGTTACTTGATAGAATGAGTTACATTAAATAAGATCAAATCAGGATTAGCCAGAAAATATTTATGACGTGGTGAAACAAAAGGATTAGGGGAATGATAAGATGAAGGTCAGAAAATGATCAGATTTAGGGCAGAAAAGGGTTAATAGTTAGGTCGGAAAATGGTCAGATTGAGGTCGGAAAATGGTTAGAAACTGGTTAGATTTAGGTCGGAAAATGGTCAGATTGAGGTCGGAAAATGGTCAGATTGAGGTCGGAAAATGGTTAGATAATGGTCAGATTTTGGTCATAAAAAGGTTAAATAATGGTTAGATTCTGACGTCTACCTGACGTCAGTTTATTACGTCAAAAAAACTTTCAAATCCAACCGTTTTTCCGACCGTCATCCGACGTCAGAACCTGACTTAAATCTGACGTCAGTATGACGTCTTGTGTTTGCTGGGACATATGTACTTGTGCTATATTTTTGCTTTCATTTACATATGTATCTTCTAGGTTTTTACACCATAAACGCTTTGCTGCACATGGCGTCTTCATCTTGAAATGAATTCGGTAACAAACAAGCGTGCAATAACATCGACGATTACTACAGACCTACCGCAATATTCCGAAAATGGTACGTAGAGCTAAACTGTTATAACTATGAACAAGGTTAGCTTTTAAAAAAGCTAGTAGCGACTCGCTTCGTAATTTTATTCCAGGGTTGTGCTTAAATGTAAAAATGACAGTTCTGTACCTGAAGAGATTTCAGCGAACATCAAAATAAAAGTGACATATAAAGTTACGGAAGCCAGTTCTCTCAGTTTAACAAAAGGGAATATGAGTATATATGAAGATGCATGTAAACAGACAGAATGAAGTCCCTATGTCTATGCACATTTGCTATATGGCCTGTTGACCTTGACCAAAAAAATGTTAGATAGGTAGAATTCATAAAGATGTCTCTTTATACAAAGTTAAGTTGTAATATGTTTTTAGTATTGGAATGAGTGACAGACAGAAGTCCTATATAGGAATATATTACTGAAGAACTCTCTTGGGTGTGGGCAAATTTAGATTCATGGGGCATGATTATTTGATTTGTACAAGTTCTCAAGTCTCGTAAATCCCGGTCAAAATAGACCGGGAGAGACCGGAAGCAACCGGACCGGAGAATAGTATATCCCAGTATATACATACACAAAATATCGGAAAGGATAAAATTACCGGGAAAAAAGAAAAAGAAAATATGCACAGAACCAGAGATACACTTATGTTAATTAACCAATTAATTGTTAATAATTTAATTTACTACAGAGAAAACAGATGAAATCGCTAAATCAAAAGTCAGTGTAAATATGATTTATTGAAAAGAATTCATGAAAACAAATATTTTATCATCATTATCATCTTTGCGCTCAAAGCAATACTTGTTGCTTTTTAAAAATGGCGTGAAAATTGAAGGTTTTTTGACGCTATGTAAGATCAAATTTGATTGGCTAAATTATTTTGGATTCCAGCCCAGACAGATATATTTTTTAGAAAGCTGGAAGCCAAGCTTAGATTAAAATTTTGGATGGATTCGGAGTTTTAGGTTGTTTATAAGTAAAATCCTAACGTAATACCGCGAGCCGGCATAAAATAAGAATAATTATGAGATAAAATGTCTTCTTAAATATTGATACATTTATATATATATATATGTATTTTTGAAGTATTCTGTCCGCCCTTATGTCGATATGTTAATTTTACTTTTAAACACTGTTTTGGTTCACTTGTCTGTATCACAAAGAAAGTTTTAAAGATGATGCGTTTCATGAATTTGTTCTCACTTGTTGCTCTTTATTCTCATACTTTAAGAACTCCAATAGCAGATTGTATAGGACACATCCCATCCCCATTCCCTATTGATGTAAAGCACCAAAAGGCGCCGGGAAATAATAAGTATAGTACATGTAAAATGTTGCAAAAAGCTGAAATGTTGGTGTTAGAAGCAGGTTTTGTTTAATTCGGAATAATCTATTCAAAGTTTTTGTCTTATACTTTAAAAATAACTGATCCCAAATCTTCCGAAGATAGGTGCTTGAGAATGATGGGGTTGCTTTGCTATTTCAATAATTTATTATGCAGGATCCAATCGGCGGCAAAAGAAATGTATAAGTAAAATAGGTAAACGACAATCTGCCTTTTGTAAATGAAAGTCTAATTCAATGAAGATTAAAGAGTATCCCTAATGTCTTAAGATAAGTATACATATGTACAATGCATAATATATGCAAATAATGCAATTTATTATATTTCAGGCATCAGAGTTTCTATTCTAGTGATACTTATCGTTGTGTCAGTTATTATGCTATGCAGCTGTGGAATTGTAGCTTGTTACATTATAAAACAGTAAGTTACCCAAACATTTTACACCAATAAGTTTACTAAAAACTCAAATCTTCTGGTTACTAAAATTAATTTCCGATCTGATCACTGAAAATGATCGCCACTTACTACTTTTTAAATAAATCCTTTAATGTTAAAAATGTTAAAGTCGTTGACTTTGAACAAACCACTTACCTTTCACAGATGCGGGTTGAATCCCTGCCATGGATTATTTAAATTATTTAGGATTAGGAAGCTATCCAGCGTCGGTTGTTCTAATCATGTATCTGTTCATGCTTGCAATGATTAATGCACGGAGTGGCACCTGACGTCTTCCTTCAGCAATACAACTAGAAAGATGCCATTTGAACTAGACATTATTTCATTCTTTGTGAGACGTACAGTTATACACCCCCTTTCCCTCCCCCAACATTCCCGCCCCGACAAAAAACAATCTTTATATTAAACGCACATGATAATATATAATTTTGAATTTAAATTTGTATTTGAAGGCGACGAAAATCGAAAACTGACAACTACCAGCAGAACGGACCAGGAGCAGATAACCCAGGTTTTAAAGGGGAGTACAGAAGAACAAGTTCTGTTTGTCATGATACAAAAAGCACGAGAGAATCAGGAGCCTACATATCATTTGATCCAATATCTGTTGACATGTGTGAAATTAACTACATACATCCTAGAAATAAAAGCGAGACAACCAATCAGAGAAATTCAAAGGAAAGTACAACATCTGGAGCGTATATGTCTTTCGATAACATAGATCATTCTAGTCTAGAGCTTTAAGTTTTTTTATGATTTGCTGTGCTTCAATTTCACTTTGTCTACTCTATACGTTTTGGTTAGACTTTACGGGACGTGCAGATTGGGTTAACTTCTACCGTGATTAAATTATTCAGATTTTATAATGTACCTCAACAAAATGGAGCTTATAGGTCTTGAAGAAGATTGTTTTTAGACTGATCTGGTAACCGTTTCTGGAGGTTCAGCACTGTTGTCATTTGTATTTGTAATGAGAATAAAAACAAATCAACGTATCGATATTATAGTGCTTTTGTCGTTACTGAAGGAAATAAATAGTTCAAAGCATGTAAAATTAAAATATCTGGAAAAACTGACCTCTTGGAAGCATTAAAATCGGCAAAATTACATGAAAATTGCAGACTCGGTTTGATTCCATAAAATAACATATGATAACAGCAACATAACATAACAGCAGGTAAATTAATAGTTACTTATAAAGTATGTTGCAAATGAAAACGGTTGCAGTATTTATCGGACAAACGGAAAAAGAATGTGGTGTTTGAATTAAGTGTTGTACGGTGCTCCAATATTCGAGTCAATAGACCTTTTAACAACATATATTCCCTAAAATTTACAATAGAAACACACAATTTTGTATGGAACTTGAATTTATGCCTAACCATAATATATACACGAGCTCGTAAGATCAAAGAACAAATACATCGTCGTTTTAACACATGTTTTTGTGACAAGTACGAGTCATGTTGCGGTAGACACGATCTTTTGTAAACACTATTTCTTCGAAGTATGTATTTTTTTGTGAATTGTGTTGTGCTAGATTAACAATAAATTGTTTCTAAAATTCGATGGAGTACTTAAACAATTGGAATGATTTTGCAATGTCCAGCATTAAGATATTTTGTAAGCTATTGCCTGCAATTTGGTTATCCCGCCATTAATATTTTGTCCAGAAATATTCGGTGTCTCGGTCAGAAGTATGATATTTTGACGTTGCGCGGAAAAGTTGTGGTAAACGCCCTATCACCGTGAAGGTGAATAATCACATTCAAATCGAACAGGTTACATTGCTGAGTAATAGGGTAATGCTATATGGGTGTATATAAAAAAATTATGCTGAATATTTTCATTTTCATCAAATATAAATGTGAATTTATGTAGGCTCCTTGAAACAAAATATGAGGAAGAAAATTGAATGCTCAACTTTTCAAACAGAAAAAAGAGCACCACTTAATAATAACCTATAGAAATGTTTATGGTTGAGATTCGCTTTAACGTTTATCTTCTTTTTTTCGATATTGATCGGGTACTTCTTTCATGTAAATCGGTCTACCTTTGTAATAAAAAATATTTTTAATACGGAAGTTAATGCGTAAAAGTTGTGGAAATTTTTAACTTCTGACGTGTCGTTACTATTTTTATAATTGAGCTGCGGTTACTTATATAGAAAATGGACCCACATGTCATCTTATTTATTATTTTCCTTGGAACTTCTTGTATCAAAGGTTAGTAAAAATTTATTTGGTTTATGTCTATTTAAATGTAGGCCTATTACATTATTATCGGCTCAACAAATATTTTATTTCACTAACTTACATAGTTTGACTTAAATGACCTGTTGGTTATGGGTACATGACATCACTCATTTAAATTTTCAATCCCACTTTAATTTACGAGAATTAGTATTGAATATATATCTTATTTTAGCTAAAAGCATACCATCGCCATATCCGTAATAGTACAGTTGGTTAAATGCAAATTAGAGCTCAATGCAATATAGTTTATTTCATTATTACATTGTTTTTATTTCTATATCATAAGTAAATGCAGGACAACATATTTGTGCAAGCACGTGTGAAAACGGGTGTGACTTCTTTACACGTGCATGCAACAACTGCACAAACAGCCGATATGACCAATTTTGTGATGGCAAGTGCAGTCCATTTTGCGTCAACTCTTGCGACAGGTAACTAATATTTTGCTTTACCTAATCAAAACTCATTCTATTCACGGAAGACAATATACGTTGGTCCTTTTTTCTCTGCCATATTTGTTTTAAGGTTTTTATTATTTTCCTTCTGAAATTATTTAATTGTTGCTTGGTGGCCTATATATCAATGAGCAATACATGATCAAATATCCAAACAAATAGACATGTTTTATTTTAATAGCATAGTAAACTGTATTTAAACAGTATTCACACTTATCATTTTGTTCAATTCATTTTCAGATATACGGGAAACTGTGATTCATGCATACAAGGAAAATATGCATCCTGGTGTATCGAGTCGTGCAGCGAAGGTTGCAGTTCTGGGTGTGACATGGAAAATGGGAATTGCTTTCTGTGCAAAGTTGGCTGGTATGGGATATGGTGTAACACACCTTGTCCTAGTGGTTGTTATGGTGAATGTAACAGGATTACAGGTGATTGCTTAAAATGTAAGACAGACTTCTTTGGTCGCCATTGCAATGTTCCTTGTGTTGAGACGGGTTGTCTTGATGGGTGTGATAAATATTATGGCATATGTAACTCATGCCAGTCAGGTTTCTACGGCGAGTCTTGCAATATCAAATGTACGGACACTTGTATGCAATCAAAATGTGATTCTTTTTCTGGCAATTGTATTGACTGCATACAAGGGTATTATGGTTTGAAATGTAACCAGTCACGTCCAGAACACTGTAACGGAATCTGTAACTTTCAAACCGGAAGTTGCTTTTCGTGTGTCAATGGATATTTCGGTGAACATTGTACCGATAAGTGTCCAGAGAATTGCAAAGGTACATGTGGTGCCAACGCGAAGTGTTTTTCTTGTAAAAACGGCTTCTTTGGTGACAGATGCCAAAATACATGTTCACAACATTGTAGTTGGTCATGCAATCAACAGACTGGAGAATGTTTCACTTATAGGGATGGTTACTGGGGTGAAACCTGTCAGGAGTCTTGTGGTGAACATTGCACGGAGCCATGTCACAAGAACAATGGACATTGTTATACCTGTCACTCAGGATGGTATGGGCAGTCCTGCGAACAATCATGTCCAACAGCTTGTCAAAATACGTCGTGCTTAGCATCAGGTGTATGCCAATCATGCATAACCGGTTTTTATGGAGATAAATGTGAAAAGCCATGTACCAATTGTGTAAATGATACATGCAGACAATCAGACGGGTTTTGTGTATATGGATGTACCAATGGGTCTGACTGTAAAACTATGGTTTCAACGACGATAGGAACCAGCCTTATTACGACTAATGCAACTGTTACCAGTCGAGTAAGCACAGGGACAACAACTGGTTATTTGACATTGTGGCCAGTCTCTACAACTGAACATACCTCTGCAACTGAAACATTCTCAACACAGACTACAACAGAGGTGTCAAAGCCGTCTGAATCGGGTGAGAAAAAAATATATGTATAATTATCAAATGGGGTCATACTGTGTGACAATCTACATGCATGATCTACCAGCACAGCTTGCAGAAATATTCTCATACCGCTAGATTACGTTTCATGATCCCATTGAAATTCCAAACACTGTCATAACAATAATTCAAAACCGCTTACAATAATTCAAAACTTAAATAGAGTAAAACGCTAGCACCAATATCGACAGACTGCTTTCGTTCATTTTACGTACCGTCTGACGATCCTTAAGGAAAAATAAGTCTGGCTAAATGTTACTGTGATCGTAAGTACGGTTTGAAACATGAATACTAGTAATTGATGCACTAATTACTGAATGTTTGTTTCATAATTATAGTCTGTAATCAATTTTTCACTTTAGAATAAAAATGACAAATGTATATCAACTCTATCTGACATATAAACATATGGACATGAAAGATACGTCACTGTTGTAGCGGTGTAATTGTTAGCATACGGGACAGGCAATTCAGAATGGTCCGATTTCCGACTTCGCCTGACCTTTTTTGTATGATAAATATATAGCTACGCATTTAATTAAAGAATACATCTTATATTTTATTTAAAGGGGATAGTAACGTGTTGATCGTCATTACATTGATAGTATCTGCGACATTGGTATTAGTATGTGTTGGTGTTGCCATATACTGTATACGGAAAAGGTAAGTGCAGATATCACAAACTATATCTTTCTAAAGATTAAGTGGCATCAATACATTTTGTAAAATTGTACGATTGTTCATTCGATTTGGATAATCATGCCGTTTATATCAAGGCAGCATGATAATATTCATGAACATTTTAAAAATGTCTTAAAAAGTAAAATATTGCGAAGTGAACAAAGAAATTATTTTCATATTGCAAACAACACTTACAACCCATGTAAATTACCAAAAAGAGGTCAAGATATGCAAAAATAGCAGTAACTGCGTTAGAAACACAGTAGAAATATGGTGAAAAATACAGCAAAAGCGGTCATTAATCGCACATAAAATGGAATATATTACTTTCATCTTGGATCTTTTACTTTTCTAAAAAACTCAGTACTTTTTCACTCAAGTTTGATTTTCTTGCATTATTTTTGTTCATCAGGAGGTTTGCAGGTTTAAGTCACAGCTGCTTCTAACTATAATGTTATAAAGGGTATTAAATAAGGTTACATGGCCTCATACCCGAGAAGCTAGCTTACAGTTGTTTACATAGAGCCAACCCTGTCAAGAATCTTTATAATATCAACGGTTCGGGTTATCCGGTAACAACCTTTTGTACTGGGCCATATCAAAAGACAATTGGCAATTTCTTCATACATTCATAACAGCCGTGTATAGAAATAATATACACGTCATGATTATCCAATAGAAATATACGTTACAAACGTGCAGTATTACTATAACCATCAATGATTGCGAAATAATATTAGACATTGCGCAAACAGGTTTCATTTAGAAATTGTTAATAAAAAAGAGTATCTTTGTAAATTTGGTTCCTCTACTCAGATATTGCTCTGAAAGAAAAGATGTAAGGAATTTTAATCACAGCTTATATTGTATTAACAAAATAATATATATGTTTACCTATTTTACAATTATATTTTTGTTGTATTTTCTTAAATCCATGTTGCTTATTTCTTTTTCATATAAAAGAAAGCATGGCAGTAAACCCAAAGAGGAGCCAGAAACAAGTAAACATGTCTACACAAATGCATATGATGACATACAAGAGGAGTATGCGGAGATTGGGACTCCTAGACGGGAATCGTTATCATATGATGATATAGAAAATGTTATAGAAGAACAACAGTCACCTGTAGATCACTATCAACGTATAGACGATGTTTTGGGATCCACTGGTGAAACTAAACAAGAAACGATGGTAAAAGCAGTTCATGGTCCGTCTGGAAACAACGTTGACATTGTAACGGCAAATGCGATTGCCGCCTCACATGTTGATAAAAATGAATTGAATACAGATACTATGGTCAATTCAGATCAGATTACAGACCTTCGAACCGATGCGTGTCTATCAACAAACAATACTGGTGATTCATCTGGATCAATGAGTAATTCATCTTTGGGTTATACCCAAGTGCTTTTAGGAAATGAAACTGCTTCGTCAGAAATACTTTATAAGTTTCGTGAGCCGAAACGTGACACTGTATCTAATTTGAGTGAGGCGACAGACCTGCGTGTCAGTGCATGTCCAAGAACAATGCATGCAAGAATTTCGTCATCCGATTTAAGTATCACTGCATCAGATTATACTCAGGTGTTTCCTGCAAAGGACTCAATTCCTTTACAAGATTTGAATATGTTGCCTTATTCAAGAATAAACACTTATGCACCAGGTGAAATGTTTCAACGCCATGCGGATGCATTAAGAAAAGAACATCATACTGGTTTTCGGTCTTCTGAATCTAGCAGTACTTTGTCTCGAGATTATGCCCTAGTGTTTCCACCTAAATCTTCAGACAAAAGTCACATACTTGATATTGCAATGGACAATCAGAGTGATAATGATTTTAGTGAACGTTATCGTACAGTGGAAGATTTCCAAAATCGGAGAGAATATGTTAAACAAGGGAAAGAAGAAGACTTCCAAAATCGGGGGGAATCTGTTAAACAAGGGAGAGATTCGAAATGTTCTGATTATGCAAGCGTCAACTAATGTCAATAACATTGAGGATCGCAGACTTTGTTGATACCTACAAATTAATATATAAAGACATTGTTATCTAATGAACGTATAATGTGCTCAAGGGTCAAGTCTTTAGAAGGAGCTTACGTTTTTTTCTGCAGACAATCAAAACGTGTATTTTACTATAGATAATACATATCACTAATTAATTACTGAGTATCGCTATATAATTTTCAATAGTTTCTATAAATTTAGTTTTTCAGAGAGCATGTTTTATCGATAATGTTTTTAATATGCTTTTATTTTCCAAATGCTTTTTATATTTGGTGTTTTAAAGAAGTTACACATTGGCCAATAACCTAAACCATATGTTTTCTTCTGTTACTTTTTGGCAATTAGTACAGTTATAGTCATTAAGCATCTGGTATAGAAGTCAAAATACTACCAGGTTTACATTTAATGACAAATAATTTCACATTAATTTAGCGCTTCTGTCTTTAGGTAACAAACATCTTACATCGTTTGTTTGTTTTTTGTTGTTGTTATTTTATTGTTTTTTTTTAGAAATAATGTGCTTTAAGCATCGACGGTACAATTTAATTCACTCGTGTATTACTACAGTCAATAAAGTATATGCTCATTTTAGGAAATATAAACAGGTAATTGGGTCATGTTCACGCAGGCATAAATGGTGGCTGCAATTCTGATGCCTCACAGTATTGTATTCAGGTAAAAATATGTACATGTACTCCATATTTATCGGTTATGAAATATGTTTTGGCAAAATTAATCGTTTGTTCTTTTTGCAAAATCTTATAACAGAAAATGGAAACAAAAGTAGTGTACACTGTTGTACGGATATTCATCGGTATACAATGCTGTTAAATTTCTCATCAGGGCGTTAAACAGCGAGGTCTAAGTTTTCTTTCTTACTAGTCTGATATTAGTTTTTTTTTCGGTTTGGTTTGGTTTGGTTTTAAGGCGCACACACAAGATGTATGCCATATGGCGCCGAAACAGATGATTTTGGCTAACCTCGGGTGCAACAAACTTTAAGCAACATCAGGGGTCAAAACCACCTCACCTGCTGGAGCTAAGAGATGCATACGTACATTACAGTACTTGAACCCATTTAGACGCATCTTACGCAGGAATAAACGGTGGTTGCAATTCTGATGCCTCAACCCGTAAAGGCAACCCCTGAGCCACAAAGGGACTAATAAATATAGATTTCAGACAAAAAAATGTTGAAACCACATCTATATTCATGTCAACATTGCAAAAGTTAATGATGTCTCAAAACAAGAAAAAAATATATCAATTTATCAAAATATTTATATTTTGCCAACAAAAGGAGAACAAATTAGAGCAGCAGTATACTATAATTTTAGTCTTCGAAAAAAGTCGGCCAAATAATAAATATGTTTAGAGCTTCAAGTTCTTTAACTCTAATACTAGTCTCGATTTTAATGATATATACCACTTCTGTACACATGTTTTTGTGTAATGTTCATTATGCTTAAAGATATATACTATGCTCAAATTTTACATTTCAAAATATTCATAATTGCTACACAGTCTATTTGTAAATATAAAATAAAGATGTTTAATTTCACACAAAGTAGATATGTTGTGCTTAAAATTCTACTCACTATATAGGTGGTTACAATATGATTTTATAGTGCCATTAAAAAACATGCAGTTTATTAAGAAAATACCAATTTTACTTGACCTGTAATAGGAAACGCAGCTTCCAATACATAATTTATTTTTTCTCCTATTCAAATTTTACATATTCGGTAAGAATAACATAGATTTCAATAAATCGATGTGATAAAAATATTTTACGCAAGGATGAGCATAGTATATCTAAAGTGTTATTATTATTACTGCTGTTTTTATTTTTATTATAATTACATTGTTATTTTTGTTACTGTTGTTAACGTTGTTGTTGTTGTTGATGATGATGATGATGATGATAATAATTATGATGATGATGATGATGATGATGATGATGATGATGATGATGATGACACTACTTTTACGACAACTGCCATGGTACTTTAGCTTATATGGCGAACATCACAGTATATTCTACTATATAAATATACAAATAGATGGATTTTTATTTTGCATGAATTTAATAAAGATTTAAATGACCCCTCTATCAAAAAATATCAGTTTGTTTTGCCTGATCCGCAAAATCTTACGATTATCTCCAGATTATCGATTTACAAATATCGTTATTATTAAAAACACACGGTTCTCATTAAAAGGACCGATCGATTGTTGTATATAAACCATTGTTATTCAATTATCAATCGACTTAAATCTTCGCCCGCTTTATTTCCGTAATATTTGGGAATTTCAATAATTCTAAGGCAGCTAAATCTGCAGCTTACAGTTTAATCTGGCCAAACAGTGCTGATGCACGGCTGTATAATTAAAGCCGTGGTTGATGTGCAGGCAGGCTGAGCTCAATAAAGGGTGCCATTTGATTGTTGCCGCAGAGCAAATATTATTTTTATAATTATACAGAATTCAGATATTTTTACAGTTGCAAGTTTCGTACATTATTGCTATTTTTCCGGCCGTTGCTTGTACACGTTCACTTTCTTGATGTAGAAAAGAAGCCATTAGAAATGAACGATTGTTTGAAATAAATGAAAACATCACAAGTGGACACTTAATTACTAAAATTGAAAAGGCAACCATGCGATATCAGCCATATCAGAAAAAATCTGGGTAAAGGGTGGTCCCTCGGAAGCATTAATCACAACAAAATTACATGAAAATTGCAGACTCGTTTTGATTGAGTCTGTACATGATCGAGGGATAATGAAAAAGTTCAACATCCCTTAGGCCCCCTAGCACCGGCTTGAACGGTACCCACTTTTTAACACTTAAAAGTGGTGGAATCAATGATCCCGAAACAAGTTTCTTCTCAATATGATATCGAGTTGGAACAGAAGATGTGATCACTGCGCCATTACGGCCTACTGAATACCTACTAAATACGTTAATATGGGTTATATGTATACAAGGGCAGGAGTTTACCTTGGTACCCGATTTTTACAAGACAAGTCGGTTTAAATAATGAACCAAACTGAGATATATGACTAAAAAGCTTACAAATCTTCGGAACAAAAGCAGTATAGCTAATATCTGTTGGCGTTATGTCATCCCAGGTCATATTTTTTTTATAATAATTCACCATGCAGGTCATATTTTATGATAATTCACCAAGTAGGCGACCTGCAGTAGGCATTTTTTTATAAAGGTGTCCGAGTAATTCATTTTTCTTCTTTCATTTATTAAACAAAAATTCATGACCCTTAAGGGCATAAGAGTTAACAAACAAGCAATACAACAAATATCAATACAATCATGGCAAAGAAGTAAATAAAGAAGGAAAATGACTTAATTAAAATAATTAAAGTATTTCTATAATCACTTCACATTATATAGCCTGAAAATTTAAATAGTAGGAAACCTTGCATGGTAATTACTGATATAATTGTGTCTTTCATAAGTAAAATAAACTACATTTAAATTTTATAAATCTAATGAAATTCATGAAAATGCTATCTAGATTGCACAACTGTTTAAAAAGGGAGACAATTCAAGTGCACACACACGCGACTACTTCCCCTGTTAGACTCTTCAAACACGAAGTCAATAAAGGCTATTGACCTTTGACTTTTGCATAGGTAAATAGTTTACAGGTGCCTGGTAGCAGCAACACTTGAAGAAAAATGACAGAAAAACGTTTAAAAACAAAGGAGAAAGTGTCAATAGATATATTGGTTTTTGTACAAACTTTCATTTGTTATTAAAGTTACATATGTAAAGAAACAGAATTAAGTTGGATATAAGTGTAGTATGCAGAAAAAGAATAGTAAATTGGAAAGTTTTCTGTTTAGAAAGCTACCAGAACACCGATATGAAAGGATTAGGGGCTATGAATCTTGTATTGTGGTTTCCGAGAGGGAAAACAAGGCTTTCAAGTATGTTATTTTGGGAGATGAATGGATATACCTGACAGAAAATCCTCCAAAAACGATTCAGGAGTCGGTGGCATTAGGAGATGTTATTTCTGTTGAATTGGTAAGGTGTTATTTACACATGTGCATATATACATGTGTGTACCTGTGCTACTGTTATTTACAGGTGTGCAATATATCGTATGACATATTTGTATGAAAGATATTTTTAGAAAATAAGAATGGGGTGGCTTTTATTTTGAAGAGCATGAAGGAGCTAATTGATTTCTTTATCAGGTATCATGTTAGGAGTGCCTCAATCAATTTATAAATGGAAATATTATCTTAACAGTTACAGGCACAATTCTCTCCAATTATTAAAGGAAGAATAGGGGGAGATATTATTTACATAAGATAGCGCAATACTTCAACTCGTAGAACATTAAGTTGGACTGTGCAATTTATTGTCAAGGCTGTTTCTGCACATAAATTGATAAACACACTATAAAGGAAAAACAAAACAGAGTCAGACAAAGTTTATTTGTTATTTAAAATTATAATTATAAATTATGACATATGCTGTGTCAAATTAGTAACGATTCGCCACACTAACGATTCGCCACATAACGATTCGCCACAGAGTAATAACGATTCGCCACAGTTAAATAACGATTCGCCACAGTATGATTATAGATCTAACAATGATTTTTTTACTTATCAACAATCTTTTTCCTTTTGTTTTAATAATTTGACAATGACAATAATTTAATAATGTTTCTTAATACAAGTAACATGAACTTAAAGCCCCCATCGCGGATTTTGCAATTTATTAAAGTAACATTATTACAGGAGTACATTTACAAGAAAGTATTTATATGTTGATTAATCATAAACATAAATGTCAATTAATATAAGAAGAAGAGAAGAAATAATTATTTCGGTAACTTATACATTTACAGTATCTCGTTACATACAATAATTACAAAAATATAATAATTCTGTGGTCACATGACAAAAGCAAAGAAAAAAATAAGAAGAAGAACATAAAAAGTTTTAACTGATGACATTCTTACGGGGAACAGACAGCTGCAAATAAAGGAACAAAGAACATCACAGTATCATTATCATTCATTTATATATATGTCAAATATTTAAAAAAAAAGATATTGCAAAAACATGTGATCATTACGAAAATTGATTTACGAAATTGATTAAAGAACGCATATCTAATTCATTTGTCACACCTTTTATTTTAACAAGCCAATCACCTTAAATTGTAGAAATAATTTTAATTGACGCCGAAATAATCCTTTAATTATCTGACAATTTGAGCAGATTTCAAAACAATGGGGCAATAAAGCTTATGTATGTACATTTTGTAATAAAATATGTTGGTTATATAAATAACTTATCTAAAATGTGTAATGTAATTTTGGTAATAAAATATATTTATTGTCATTTATTCAATTAATTCAATTGAAGCTGTTTTCTTTTAATTTTCCAGTTAATATAAATCACAAAGTTTAACTTACTTATCTACAATGTGTAATGTAATTTTGGTAATAAAATATTCATGTGTCTTTATTCAATAAAAGCTGTTTTCGTATAATTTTCCAGTTTATATGAATAACCAGGTACGTATGTTAATATACGTTCCTGGAATAACGAATTTTTTCTCATCTACATGTACAACGTGTGATGTAATTTTGGTAATAAAATATCTATTTTCATGTGTTTTTATTCTATAAAAGTTGTTAGTATATTTTTCCAGTTTATATCAATAATGAAGTTATAAAATGTGTTATGTAATTTTGTTAATAAAATATCTGGTTTTCGTGTGTTTTTTATTCAATAAAAGCTTTATTCAGTGTTATCTATTTATGTATTTAACAAATGAAATATATAATATAAAAAAGTTTTCCGTCAACAATTTGAAAACAGGTGTGAACAAGTTTGTATTTGAACACATGGCGAATCATTATTTAACTGTGGCGAATCGTTATTACTCTGTGTCGAATCGTTATGAGGCGAATCGTTAGTGTGGCGAATCGTTACATTACCGCTGTGTCAGAGTATATACATTGATGGCATTATGATTATCTTGTAAAACCAGCTTATTTTATAGTCGATATTCGGTCATATTCCCAATTGAAAATACTTATAGTATATTATTTTTCCTATCCATAGGCAAAATTCCCAAGTGAAAGTTACAAAATAAAAATATTGAATAACAAATTCTAAAGTTTTTGAAAATAAGAACTTCTTCACTGTTATGGTGCTTAAATATTTGAAGATGCCATCCTAGACAGTGATTCTGTGCATTCAGTTTATCACTGCAAAATTTAAGTCCTGCATTTTTCCAAATTTTTAACAAAACATTGCTGAAATTCCCAATTCCATGGGTTATATAATGGGTACCGTGGAGTTCCCAAAATCCTGGATAAAAAAATAGGTTGTCGTTATGGCAGATCTTTAATTTACATAAAACATAGATAGGCCTGTATAAACTAGGCACATCAAATATCATTGGTGTTAATTTGTTGTTCCACACATTTAAAAACAAAATATTTAAGGATTTTGATAGTAATTCAAATATAAATTAGACACATTTACGTATTATGTATACAATTCGTAATAATTAATTTCAAGGCCCGGTTTGAATAGAATTTGATTTATACTCGTATATATAACTTAAGATTGGAAGAATTCCTCAGATTACCCCAAGTGGGTATCAAGAAAGAATTTTGAAGTCAGTTGGTTCACTTCTTATATTGCAGGTATAAACTGATGACCGCTAAGTATCTTTTACTCTGTATATTCAACAAAGAATAATATGCAATGAAATAATTATATTCAATTCAATTTTTCTGTACGATTAATCTGCTGTGGTCATAGTATTATTTTTACAATAGGTTTATCTCTTAGATTTGGTTCGCTAAATTGCTAATCATGGTCATGCAACTACATAGTTAGGTGAGGAAGCGGGCGCTTGTTTTGGTTGAGTCTATTATGTTTTGTTTAGGGGGTTGAGGTGTCATACACAAATTTACAATTTATATGCATTTATTTTTTTCCAATGATTGTTATTATCTTAAATGCTTCTTGGATTGTTGTTTTATCAATTGATTTGTAAATAAGATTGTTATATGTCTATTAACGGAATAATTTTAATGAACACGAAATTAGTTCACACCTACATGTGTATTGGTAACGTGATAGTTTAAGCCAATGAAAACACGTCAATATTATTTTACTCAGGCAGAGAAAAAGTGTGCAAAGAGTCAATCGATAATCTTTATGTAGCCAGCAAACTTTGAATTGCAAGTATTTTTTCATATCTTTTCGGCAGAATAAACTTTTCGAGGATTCGTATCGTAAAATGGCTGCCATTTACAGTATCAAGTGATTATCCCAAGCACCACCGCGACTTAGCGCGGGAATTTTAATTATAGCTTACCTCGGCGCGTATACCTTTTTCATATTTTATTGTAATAAATATTTACAAACTGTGTCTTTCGGGTTTTTTTTTATCAATATATAACCAATAATAAGGTTAATATGAATAAATAATCATATCTCAAATCTTTGACTATGATTTACAATGAAATTCTACCTTAAGTGTATTAAAAAGGTTTTTAATTTCCTGTAATTTTATTTTGTGATTATGCTTCAAAGCAGTCAATTGACCGTGAATTTTCTTTTCATATTTTGATTACCTTGAAATCATTTTTGTCATCTGAAAGCATGCAACTTTAATATGGTGATACATTAATTACATTCCATGAACATTTTTAAAGATATAAAATATCTCGTGACATGTTTGTTCATTTTACATTACACCTTTAATTCAGCAAACATAAAGTCTTCACAAAAAGTAGTATGCAATCGTACCTATATTACAAACGAATGTATGTAATATTTTTCTTGTTATTAAACATATTTGAAGCAAATTAAAATGAACGAAAAATACATGCATTGCAAGAAGAACAGTATGAAGTATACAAACAAAGAAAGATATTTCATTGCAGAAAAGCATAATTACAGGAAAATGAACACAGAATTATAAACATTTGATTAGGAAAAAAAATATTAGCTTCAGTTCAATTTACAGTCAACAGTTTTTTAAGACTTTAATAATTTTAATAACTATATGAAAATAACGTGTTATAGCTCTAAAAAGGTATTTATTCAGTGTTAAATAATCAACCCCTACTGATAAGCCTACACATATTACAATACCTTAAAAATATATACTGTGTTTAGAAAGTTAATTGTAAAAAGGTAAATTCAGTGTAAAAACTTAAATCTTAGTGTGGCAATATTTGATCCTATTAATTGAGATGTCATCGAAACATGATGGTATCTGATTTATACGAGGGGCCACTCTGCAGCGGTTATACTGTACCAGAAGTCCTGTGATAAAATTGACAGGATTCACCAATTTATAGAACCTTCATTGATATAAATATGCTCAAAAAAAGATCAGCAACTTAGACACTATTTAGAAACATTTTAAACACTGCTTCAGAACTATCCGAGTCGCTCCTAGGTCACACCTTTTGGGCTGTTTAAATTATTTAATTTGTTCTAAAATATTAGCATCTAATTATTATATAAAGTCATGTACCGGTATACATTAATGAAATACCAATAGCCTCAACCGGATTATCTGGTAGAAAGTATTCAATTGTAATATACAATGGTTCTAGGCAATGTTCAGATATCTATAGGCAGATCCCTGGTTTCAAGCTGATACCAAAATATATTTAGTCGCAAGACCATTATTATAAATCGGTCATGGAGTAAACTAATTTTAAAAATAAAAGTATAAAAAATTTTTTTTTTACCATGTACTGCTGACTAACATATTAAAGGAGATTTAGTAATGAACATAGATATAAACCTTAGCTTATAATGCTGAGCTCACTGTTATAATTGCTGGTGTCTGAGCTGCCATCTGATCATGGTCTGCAGAGGCATATTTGAAACTTTCCTTAAAATGAATGGTTTTTAACCAGAATGAAAGATGGACAAGTATAGCATGGTAATATGGTTAAAATGAAAAATGCAAAAAAAAAATGTCAGTTTATGCAACACTTTGTTATTAGATTTTTTTCTATAATA